CGGGGGGGGAGGAGATGTAGGCGGAGAGTTCGGTGATGATTCTTTTTGTTGGGGTGCCGTTTTTGGGGGGGTGGCGGGGGGTGGACATCTCTTTTCTTTTGTGAGATTCTGAGGAGAGGTTTTGGTGGTGGTGGTTGTGGTTGCGCTTCAGTTTCTAACTTTGCATTGAGTTCGAGACCGCTGTTTCTTAGGATGGTAGGAAGAATTATAGAAGATTCCCGATCGAATAAAGTATGAAAGTCCTCTTTTCTTTCCCCTCTCTTCTCGGATGTCTCTTGAGAAAGATGGGATCTTCAAATTGGTCTCGACAAGGTGGTCTGAGGTATGCGTTGTTGTTTTCCTGAGAATCCGGTAGTGGTGGTGGTGGTGGAGCTTGTTCTGTTGTCAATGGCAAGCTGTGAGCTGTGAAGGAAAGGGTCCAAGAAAATTCGTGCCGAGGTTGGAAGGTTCGGTGGATTCTCGGTGTCTCAGCCTCGAGGACAAGGCAGTGAATGTGTGGACTTGGCTTGGGCTCGGGTCGCTTTGATTGTGTTGGAGTAGCAGTGTAGCATCGATCTGTTTGGATCTTGAGAGTACGAGTGAATCTATAACAAACCAATTAAGTACTCTCGCGATTATCAACTATTGACGAAATGGCATCTCAAAAAAACATTCCCTCACGATTACAAAGAGAACACGACACCCCATCAGACCACAGAATGACCCCAGATAATCACCATCCATTCTCGTACCAAAATATCTCTCAAGTCCCAAAAAGATTAACTCCTCTATAATGGTATAGGTATGTGTAAACACACATAAGAGCATCATTAGACTTCATAAAGAGCCCCTCTTCTGTCTGTTACTGGGACATCACCATAAACACAAAACGCCACGCATAACGAAAGAAAAAAGAGAGAGAGGGGAAGAGAAAACGCTTAGTTTGCCCTTTTCCTAATGCCCCTTCCGATATATTTCTCTTTCTATCTGTACAGCATTTTCCTGTCGTTAAAACTTCTCCCCAACCCCCTTTCTTTATAATATTCATCTCTCTTGACTTCTTCGTGGAGGACGAAAGGTAGATGGATGTGGGATTGTGCCAGACATCTCTCACTCATTATAATGGTACACCTGAAGGAATGGTTAGTCTTCGTTTGGAATGAATTGGACATAATTGAATGACGTACTCTGTAGTTAGGTAACCCAAAAGCATTCCACCCCAATCGCTTGGCCATCTTGGTAAAACCCTCCGTTTCAATCAAATGGTAAAAAGCGAATGGTGGAAACATAGCACCATCCCGATGAACCTCTGCCTTGACCAACAACGCCGTTCCTCCAACACCGTCAAGTGGAATCTTATCCTTTGGATCACCACCTTCCGCATAGAGGTATGCCATCAAAGTTCGGTATGTAGCCATTTCAGCGTATCCTTCCAGTAAAATATCATCAGGTCCCATTTTGGCCCCGATTTCTTTTGCTTGATCGCTATCCTGCCAGCTGTTGAAATCATACGGCCGTTCCTTCTTCTCCTTGGTTTTGGGATCCACGTATCTTTGGAAGCAATTCGGGACGATGATGGGTTCGTCGTGAAAGGCGAGATCTTGAATCAAGCTTGGTGGTGTTTCAATGATATCCGCATCCAGCCATAAAACCCATGATGTAGAAGGTCCGAGTGTGGTAAAGAGGAGCGAGTTCCTAGCCCTCGACATGGATGCCCTTCTAGCCTTCTGATTCTCCATCTTATGTCTCTCATGTTCACCCTGAGAAGCTAGAGGAGGCTCAAAATCCTGGCGCTCAATGATTATGCTTGCAAATCGAAGCTTTTCTGGCCCAGTCTTCTGTGTCTTGGTGATCTGCTCCTGGAGGGCTGCCGTGGCTGCATTTCCCTCCCGGTTTTTGGGAATGATAAATGCCAACGTAATCAATTCATGAGGATATGTAAGCTTCATGAGATTATCCCAATACTCCTGGTAAAATCGTGCCAGCGGTGTGAGGATGAGAATGGTTTCCCGATTCCCAACTGGATCACCCGTACTTGTAACATTATTCATCTTGTAATGAACCACCGGAGGCGGAACTCGTTTGCCATTGTCGACCTGTTTTCGAAAGGGCGATGTGGGAGGAGAGAGAGGATTCGATGCGGCGTTGGCCTGTCGTGATTTTGCGGCTGCGGTATCCGCACTCGAAGGGGATAGTAGAAAGACGAAAATTACTATGCACAATATCACTCCCACTACTATCGTGAGCGGGCTTGAGCGCCGCAGTGATCGTGCTGGCCCCATGGCGCCGTGCGACTGTTGGGTGTCCCCCAATCAAGAAATGATTCAATGATCCTTCGATGTGTTAACAGGACATGTGTTGCGTATCGTGGACCGGCATTCGAATGTCGCGGCGAATCGTCTGGATGAGCGCAAACCAAGTCGCAACTTCCCCGAGCTTGGGGAATCTCAAATTAGGCGACGGTAATGAATGTGGGCGTGGCGAATTCGAAAGGAGGTTAAAGAGCCTGGTGTCGTTAGGCTGATCCCGAATTTCTTTAAGGTGTTCCATTCGTACAGCTAAACTTAGCTTGGCGGTTGGAGGACGGCGTGAGTGGTGGACTTTAAAGCGGCCGTCACTTCTCATCGTCCTGCCTTTGCGAATAATTTCCATCTCCATTGTTTTCCTCCGGTGGTTTGATAAAATCACTCTTTCCAATTACCGGAAAAATTCTCATTCTTACCAAGGATCTGAATCCATCACTACCTAGGTACTTTAGATAAGTTGCATTGTAAACTTCTAAAAACAACAACCAAGCTGCTGCTTTACCTCCGTATGCCATTGAATTCTAGGTAAAGTACCTACGTAGCCCAAGCTTTTTGGGGGTCGTTCCCCTGATTAAAGACAGAATTCTAATCCTTCAAGGTAGCACAAGCTGAGTAAGCCGGGTATAGGCAAATAAACCTGAAGCACCTCGAGAGTTTGTTTGACATATTGTTTTGGTTTTTGCTTCTTGTTGACTTCTTGGTTGCACATTCTGAAGATGTTGTAAAGCATGTAGGAGAAGTAAGAAGGCTGCAGGCACGCTAATACAAACACTTGTCCATGGCCAAGTTCGATAGTCATTATTTAGTCAAACTCTGTAGATCTTAAAGATCTCAGCATTTAAAGCCATAGAAAATACGAGTAAGTAGTTTGCACGCTGTCAACCTTAAATAAGGAGACTTTCCACGAGAGATATCAGGCCTATCCTTGGCGAGGGCATTGAAGAATCAACTATAACTTCTATCCGCCTCCCTGGTCCTTGCCGTTGTCCATCTGACAGCTCAACCCTTCACGGCTTTATTTTATCTCACTCGGACGATGTAATGTAATTTCGTGACTAGCTCCAGTAGTGAGAGAAGGAATCAATGCAGCATGAATTCTTCCCGGCTCATAATTCTAATATCATACCCTCTGAGGATTCCAACCACAACTAAACCTCACTGCATGATTCCGCTTGAAGGGTTGCCAGTGAGTGCCACATAGAATAATGCCTCTTCTTGTTTAGCATATGCGTACAAATACTATGCATTTTACATCAAGTGCCTTGAGCCGAAAAAAAAAATCCCTGATAGCAAGAGGCACAGAGTGAAGGAGGGAAGAGAAGGTTACTCGGGCACGGCGGCATGAAATAAGTGCATTCATGCTATCCTGTGTCCTGTGATGTGATGATAACCAAAGGGGCAACCGAAAGCTAACCCCACATCCTCGCAGTGATTTCCTCACATCGAATGGCCATGGACTGATTACCGAAGGATCCACGACAGCAGCAAGTGACCGATTCCAGGTAACTCGAGATCTTGCAGTTCAACAGATATGGTGGACTATGGTGGACTCGAGATCAATGATCATCCGTCGCTCCAAACGGTTCTTCCGCGGCGATGATGCAGGAGTCTGGTCAGTGCAGAGGGCGCAGACACCGCAAGTCATCGGTGGTAAGAGAGTTGAAACCGAGCAATTGTCGAGATCCGGATGGACACATGTAGACACATGACCTGTTACACCCTCGGGCTGTCATCTGGAGTTGCAAAGGCTGCCAAACAAAGCCCTGATTTTCTGGACCGGCATGAAACGAAGATACCGTACTGTAATAAAATCATGGTTGTCATTTGCAGCCGGCGCATCGGGTTCCATGATTGATTGGTTGATGGGAAATGCTTCTCACCATCAGAGCAAACACCACCAATGGATCTACGGTAGTTACAGCGAGAAAACTCCACCCCCATCCACGCCAATCCACCCCCATCCTAGGCGTCGCTTCGGCAAAATCCGATTGTTTAGCGTGAGCGTGAGGCGCGCCTCCTCGAGGCCCAAGATGCAAGGGAAGAGGGAAGAGGAGAGGGAAGAGGGAAGAGGGGAAGTCGAGGGGAGGGCACTTGGACTCGGACTTGGACTTGGACTTGGACTTGGACTTGGTGGAGAAGGAGTAAGACCTCTCCAGACTCCAGCGTGTACCAACGTGCTCCATACGGAGACTGCTCGGAGGCTGCTCGGAGGCTGCAGCTGGCGCCCTGTACCAAGTTCCAAGTTGCTCCTGATTGCTAAAGGTCTCAAGGCCTGATGTGAGAGAGTTTTCCCTTTCTACCGCGGAATCTCTCCTTTGGCGCTTGAGTAATCGCTAGGTACGGTACCTAGGATTCCGTACAGCTAGTGCAGGACTGAGTGCTATCTCGGACTCTGATTTGCACTAAATTGCTTTGATTGACCTAATGCCGCCGGATGAAGAGGATTGGATCTTCATTGCCACAGCGTCCGCCGTCAGGTAGTCAGGTACCGAAGTAAATTTATACCTAGGTTCGTACGAAGACTTGTACAGTGCTCCTGGTTCCTAAGTAAACAAACCCGTTCATCGCATTGAGTGCCTTATGCCTCATGCCTTTTGCCTTTTGCCACTCACTGCATTCCTGTCATTGGCGGGTTTTGGCGGCGTAAAGAAGTCATGGAGCAGAGCAGCGCGAGGCAGCATTGAGTTTGGTGATTAGGGGCCTCGCTTAGGCTGAATCGAATCTCCTCAGCACTGCTTCACGGGCGCTGGGACCAACTGTCAGAGAGAACATGACCAGAATGACCCCCCGATCCTAGTAGGAACCACCAGAACCTACCAAATTGGAGAGGACGCGACAGGTTTTACCCCGTCTGGAGCACCGATCGCTATCAAGGCTCGAGGCTCAAGGCTACAGGTCCCCTTCTTCTTCAAGCCCCTACGCCCCTACAAGCCCCTACAGGCCCCTACAGACCCACGCGAACGAACCACAGGCTCGAACCTTTATGTACTGACTGTACCTGCACCTGCACCTACCTCCTGAACATTTGCATTCACATCCACATTCACAGCTCAACATCTCTGCAGCTCCCCAAAACTCTTGCTTTGCGTCGTCTGATATAATATCCTCCATATCCTCCATCTTCCCTCTCCAGCAAATGGAGCCTGACACCCAACTCTGCTACCCGCCGTCGCCATAACTCCTCCCCCCACTTTATCGCGGTATCGCTATCGTCGCTACATCTGCATATTGATAGAACCCAAGCACTACTGAGACGAAGCTCCTGCAAATCTTCCACTGCAAATACCAACCACACTCCACTGCACCAATTCGCATTGCATTGCATTGCCATATTAATAGTTGGAAGGAAAATTCCCCTCCATTCCGTCCGTTTTCGGCGTCTCCGGATTCATTCTTCCCGCTTTATTACCACTAAACGCCCCGAGGCTGAATCGCAGCCGTGCCAATTTATTGGAAACACCACCACCTCAAGCACTTGATAACTCCGCCGACATGGAGCCAGTGCCAGAAACGGAGAGGATGGAGGAGTTTAGATCATCTCCAGTCCCCAGCCTGAGATTGCAAGAACAATCACTTCACGAATATCGAAATACTGGCTCTGCCATAGAAACGAACAAGAAGCCCCCTACGGTCCGCAGATCGACTGAGCCAACTCCTCAATCATCGCCCCGTTCGCCCATATCCTCCTCGCCTTTACAATATCACCCCCGAAACATCTCTCCTTTTGCCCGAGGGCATCTACGCTCAAAATCATCCACCAGTGCTCTTGCACCAGCAATGTCAAGAGCTCACAGTTTACCTGGCTTCAATGCCTCCGGCCATGTCCTCATTTCCCCACATCGTCCATCTAGTCCACATGGCTCACCCAGTCGAGTCCGCACACCAAGAAAACCAGCAGATGACGTGTTTCCAGGCATGCCTAATCGAATGAGGGATATCAGCGAGTTGGCGGATACAGAAGTGACCGACCATACGCCACGAACTACAGATCGAAGCGTTTCCCCAGTACTGGGCTTACCCCATTCCGCCAGTTTCCCCCGGACTCGAAGACCATCCTCTCCACTTCGGTTCATTGCCTCACAGAACGCTACTGCCAATAGTACGGCTCCTACGACACCATCCTCTATTACCTCATCGCCTTCATACCAGTATTCACGTTTCCATGATTCGTTGCTTGGGTCAAGCACCTATTCTGGATCTTTCAGTTATCCCGGATCTTTTGCATCATCTTCGGTTCCCTCTACCCCGACGTCCGTCCGATCACGAAGTCCTAGTATATCTAGTTTAGAGACGATTCCAGATTCACCTGATGCCGAGGAAGCTGCATTGGAAGCTGAAAAAATAGCTCAACTGAAAGCTGCTGCTGATGCCGCTGATGCCGCTGATGCCGGAGAGGAGAGTAAAGACATTCGAAATTTCGATGGGTCCGGGGGTCGAGGAAGAACTTTAGGAGGGGGGTTCGGTTCACGAGACAAACGAAAGAGATGGAGTGTTTGTGGTGCCGAAAGAAGGGGTGATTTGAATCTGGATACTATATGGGAGGACTAGTTTTTAACGAAACCATTATGGTCGATCAATCAGTGGGAGGTGATGATGGCCAAAGTATGTTTACTACGCCAAGTTTGATTTACCAACTCGAAGACGGGTTTACATGGTGGAATTCCGAGACTTGATGATGGTCTGGATTCCCCAAGGGGATTCTGCAGTGATGGACACTATGAATTACCCTTTTATTTTCATGTCAATATTTTGTACAATACCCTGTGTGTTTTGATGATGGTTCAGTCATTACATGGCAACGCATGGAGTCCACGAGAAACAGGAGAAGGAGGAGGAACGTAGCATGCGATACGGAAGGGCCAGTGTTTTTTGGAAGGAGCAATGGGAAATGTATATGATGAAGAGGGATGATCAAGTTTACTCCCTGTGATTAAGATAAGTTGACTACGATCAATATCAAGGGGAACACAGTACCGGGGGCTTTCACGTGGGTTTATGTGACTCCCTACCTTTGGGTTCACTGATTAGCGATGTCAGGGCTCGCTCGCTTGTTCGCCCTGAAATGGGTGATCCCCCTTTCCCCCGTTTCTTTTGTGTTTGTATGGTACGGTACCTGTACTGTACCCTCCGTATCTTCAGTGTCTTCTATTTCGCAACCTCGGTGCCTTTTACAACTTCTCGGTGGTCTTTTACCATGCGACTTTTTTTGTCCCTTGAAGGAGGAGAAGCACCGAGATGAATTGAGATGTGATGAGGTGTGGCGTGATGTGATGTGATGTCGTTCGTTCCCCTTGAGTCTTTACAATAGGAAGGCTATATAAAAGAATCGCGAGTTTTCTTGAGAGTTTGTATATCCAAGTTGTTCTATAGATTGCTTGCTTGCTTGCTGTCTTTACTCCTTGATTCTTGATTCTTGATTGCCTCCTCTTCTCTCGGCTTCTGGGATTTTATGTTGAGGAATCTTTTCACTTAGTTGGTTACTTGGTTATTCACTGTCTTTACCACTTCACTTCGCTTCAAGCTCTCTCGTTTCCATACAAAATGCAACTCCACATCCACACCCACTTCTCGACTTGTCTTATTGCCGTTCTATTGGTGGCAGGTACTGTTCTTGCTATACCCCAACCCCTAGTAATGCAGAGGAGAAATGATGTATGTACGCCCTCCCCTCCCCCCACTCCTCTCTCCCTCTCTCCTCCTCCCTCCCTCTCTCTCGACCTGCTTTCTCAACTTGATGTGTTTTTCGAGCACTTACTAATTTCATATCATCTACTTTAGTACCGAAATCAAGCGGTCTATCAAAACTCGCGGGGAGTAGGAAATAGACATGATCATGGGGCAGGGAGTGGGGATGGGGATGTGAAGTATGGTCTTCCTATCAATGTCAATTCTACGCGTTCTATGGGTTCGATGGGTTCAACCAGTTTGGCGTCTGTTGTCTCGAGAGGTTCTTTGTCTGCTATGTCGAGTAGTTCGCCGTCATCTTCTACCGCATCGCCTACTTCTCCAACCACTTCTTCGAGCTTTAGTGATGGGGATAGAGATGGACATACTTCCTCAATAAGTTTGACTTTAAATGAGAAGTCTACTGTCATCACCTCCACGCCTTCATCCCCTACTACGCCTCCAGCTTGCCACCCAACCATCTCAACAAGTATACTTACTATCACTATCACTATCACTCAATCCGTGATTAGTACGAGTACTGTGATTGGGATGCCTTTTGGGTTTATGAACTCTTCCTCCGCTATAACCAACTCCACTTCCACCAGATCTGATAACGCCAGGAATTCCAGAAATGCTAGCAAAGACACCTTGGTAACGACAGCATCTCTATACCAACCCTACACGACTAATATACCGGATTCTGAAGTGGGATATTGTGCACGTGGTGAACATGGTGGATATGGGTTACCTGGGAGGAAAGACTTTGTGAGGGGGGGAGGGAGGATAGGGGGTGGGGGGTGTTGAGTGTTAGGAGGTGTTAGAGCGTTTTTTTGGGTGTTGGGAGGATTTGAATGGGGAAAAGAGGGAGGTTGAAAGAAAGATATGAAACACAAGCACTTAACATCCTGGAATACAGTACCTCCGTATACTATGCTAAGAACTGAGAACTAGGATTCGAGACTTAGTGGGGAGGTTTCTTGAGTGTTGAACTTGTTGGGAAATGAAGGAGTAAAAGTACTGTATAACGGAGGAGGACGAGGAATTGGGAGTGGGTTTGGGTTTGTTTTGGGATGGTGGGATGGTGGGATGGTGGTATGGTGGTATGGAGTTTTATGTATCTTTTTCTTCCTTTTCTTTGTTTTAGGGTATTGGGGGGTGTTGGGAGGGTGAGAGGGGATTTTCTTTCGGTGTTATATCATTTTTTNGGGGGGGGGAGGTTGGGGTTCGGGAATCGTTGGATTGTGGGTGAGTATAGATTATATTTGAGATGGAGATTATTTGTCAATATTTGATCTTCCACTTTTTTGATAAGGGGTAGGGCGGGAAGGAGGGGGAGAGAATATTGAATTATAATTTTACCTTGTTGCTTACTGTTGGTTTGACTTATCGTTAATAATACAAAAGACCTATATTACTATAGTAATAACTAAGTCTTAGGTTATAACAGCCCCTAGGAAGTTGTGTTGGAAATTTATATATCCTACTATACTATATACTTATTTCATACACTACCGAAGCAATCGTTGGTGTATCTTCTTAAATTTCAAGCTTTTCTACAAGTACTTTATCTCAATAGTCTAATTCTTACAAACGGGTGGTCCCTGGCCGCACTCGCGCATGGTGCCTGCCTTCTGAAGGTCTTGGCGCTAGCGGTCTTATTACCTATATGAGTGCATCTCAACCCAGGTTGAAGGCTGCCTCCTTTAACCCTCAAAACACACTCCTCAGTTGTCTGTCCTGCCTTTTTCCAACAATCTCCAACGTATTTTCACCTCCTTGAACCTCCTCTAAGCTGCGTATCAGTTCATCTCATCACTCCATCTCATCAACCCCTGCTATACAACCTCACCACCTATTTCAGCTATGCCTTATCTAGATCCTGAATTGAATCCCTCCCCTTTTGGACATTCAGCCATGCCTTATCTGGCTCCTGAATTGAATCCCTCCTGATTTGGATACAATGGAGTCCGTGCTACGCATCCTGTATATTCTACACCTTCCTGCTAAATTGTTCACACTAACCACAATTTTCAGGACGATTCCAGAGAACTCCTCTCCCTTTTCGACAGCATCGCATTCTTCGTGCGACAAGTTTGTAGAAAGCGGATGACGCACGAGAAGCTCAAGCGCAGCCTGTTCATCGATAACGAGAAAGGTTGTTGGTTCTGGTTGGAGCATAAAAATGATCGGATGGAACAGCTTGTGGGAAATTTGGTTTCTGCAATTAGCATATACAAGGCTAATACAGCCTAGGACCCGTTGGACGAAACAGAGGTTGATAACGAATTCGAGGAGCCACTCTCCGTCACACTGTGCTGTATCGAGGAGCAGCACTTTAGCCGGGCCATTGTCCGTGCAAGTGTAGCTAGCTAGGTGCCTACGTACTTATAGATGCCGTAGTACGCTAGTCCCAAAGGAGCGGAGCACGCTAGTCCCGAAGGAGTAGCTACGCTCGAAGCTAGCTAATAATCATTCACTATTATAAAGCGACACTTACTATTACTTACTTCACACTCTCACACTTGGTTGACCCGCCTTGAGCCCTTTGATCTCACGTGGTGTTTGTATTTGTATCTAATTCAGTTTGGTTTTACTATTTTAGCTTATGTTTTTCAACTTTCCAACTTTTACTCTTCAAATGCTTTATATAGTACCTATAATCCTCATCTTACGCGCCAAAGCGAGTATGTAAATAGATAGTTTCTACCTCTTAACTAGCTAGTCCTGCCCACTTCGCGAAATAGTCATTAGACATCTGGGGAAATCAAAGATCACCTACCGTACTTGTTTCACGGCTTGTTAGTAACGTTAATGAAGAAATGAAGAAAGGAAGGAATTGAGTGGGAGAATTATCCTAAGGGACATCTCGTTGTTTTTGGGGGTACATGCTGTGTCAAAGTTGCCAGTGTGGTTTCTGGAAGTAGATGACATACTTAGATGAGAGGAAAGGTTGGGATCGGGGTTTAGATAGATAGCTGGCGTCATTGTGAGTGGAAGCAAGGAATGGGTGCGGTTGTGCTGGTGGTAAGATGTCCTTGCAGTTGGATACATGGTACTACTACTTAACTCATGACTTTTCCGCATCGCAACTTACATATACATATTTCTAGGTGGAGAAGTTCGCCCTTTGAGTAGGTAGATGTAGGTTTCTAGCCTTATTTTTAGACTTGTTTATATATCCTTTAGCGGCCCATGTAAGAGAGGCAGGCGTTACTCTGTACACACCTGAGTTATGAAAATATTATCTTAAAGACCTCACACAACTAAACCAATTATACAAATAGTTTAGAACAATTATTACTTTTCAATTCTTGGTGTGCTAGGTGAAATGGGACAATTAAGTTAATTGTGCCAGGTGAAATGGGACAATTGAGTTACTTGTGCCAGACTTTTGACCTAAGAACTTTTGATAGCGTGTACAGAGCAATGCCCGCCTCTCTTACCTATAGCTAAGGATTGCACATTTACCTGGAAGGGGTGAAGAGAGGGGGCATGGGGGTAAACAAGGGATAAAGGAAGGGCGGGAGAAGAGTGATGATATATAGATAGAAGACCGAGGTAGCTTTAACTTTTATAGAAAGTTAGTCCTAGGTAGAATTAGTGGACTTATAAAAGTCCTTAGAGGACTTGATATACCCCAGAGTCCAAGACTTCAAGGATGCTTGAAGACCTTGGAGCGATGAATCGGGTCTTTTAAAGTAGGCTTGAGTTTGCTGGGTCTTGAAAGTCAAATCAGGCAGTTTTGCGACTTGCAACAAAACCCCTAAGCCCAGAATTGTATGCTACGGAGAATGGGAGGTTTGTGTCTTGCATTCACTTGTATCGTGCAGAGAATGTGAGGTTTGTATATTTGCATTCACTTGTATGCTGGTGAGTGAAGTCATTGTGTAGGTTGAGTTGTTTTGTGTATGAGTGATATAGTTGGTTCCACTATAATGAACAATGAAAGACTTGGATGGTATGAACTTTGGAATCTCTTGGTCATAATGAGCTAGGTATTCCGTCATTGACGCAGACAAGAAAACAGGGAGATCAAGTCTAGAATATTACCAATTTGTCAGTGTTGCTCAGAGTTGTGTTTGATGGGAATGTGACGTCCTAGTCAGGTAACAATTCAAACTGCATACAAGTTTCTGAAGTCAGTTTTTGAAGAACTTTCATCAATTTGGTTTGCTTTATGAGCATATATGGTGAAGTGTGACAGCTAGCACAAATAGGTTTGTCCTCAAACAAGCTGATTGAGTGCTATTGATTATTGACAAGTGTCTAGCCAGAAGCAATCCTTTACTCAGAATTCAAGGTGTCAGACTAGCAATTTTATATACTTATGTATCACGTAGCTCCATCAAGCCCTGCTTCTTTCCTTGGTCTTAGTATTCTCGTCAGTTGAAGGTCATGCTTACCTATTCACTGCACCTTCACTGAACTCCTCTGGGCGCAGTTTTGACGATTGCCATGTTTTGCTCTTTGTGTCTACTGTTGAGCATTCACCATTAGCACTCTCAGATAATGCCACTGCTAAGGATAGGACAGTTTGACTTATCTAAGTCTCTACGTACTATACATGTCGTTGTAGGCTAATCCCAAAGGCGCAGAACAAGGTTGCTAATACTCTTTCACTATTATATATTGGAATATATGTCATCTACTGATAAAAAGAACAACGCACAATGCTGTGGACGGCTGATAATACCATCGCCGCTTTTCCAAAACAAAGGTCTCGCTTATTTCACCCACCACCCCCTGCCAACCCCTATCTTGCCTCCCAATTAATTTCCGATCCACTGACATCTTATATACACTTAGGGCAACGGGCAAGACTTCGGAAGGCAGCAACACACTTTTGGCACTAGTAAGACAACGCCAGGCACAAAGATGTTACTTTGTCGCGTCGATCTTGATCTTGAGATCAAACTTCGCAAGACAACTTACCACCACTCCCCACTTGCCACCAGCCACCATGGCTTCAGCAAAGAAGAGCCCCAAGAAGGCGAGTCTGGTCAAAAAGGTAAAGAAGAGGCATGTATACAAGCACAGACCCTATTACCATCAGGAGAATGGAATCCTCAAATTCACCACCAGAACGCGAGTACTGAAGCACCAAATAGCTCCCCGAGTTTGTCTCTCAAGCAAACACAAAGAAGGGTGGAACAATTCCATTGGCAAGCAACACAAGCGCCTTGGTTCCTGCTAAAGGCATCTACGTAAGTCGTGGGATCTCGTCGCATTGCGAACTTGTCCCTGAAAGCAACGAGACGTTGAAACTGACAACTGAATAGTCTCCCGAATGGTACAAGAATATTGCGCCCAACACTGGTCCTTTATTCGAGAAACTCAGCCTTGGTCTCCGCCTGAAGTTATATGAGCATGTGATGAATGAGATCGGAACTATTAGCGGAATGCCAATCGAAATCCAACCATGCAGAAATGTTGACAAGTTTCGGGATGCGAGGAGTAGCATCGATAAAAATAGGGGACCACACCGCCGGTATTACGAGGGCGTGACAAGAATTGGTCGAGGTGAGTTACAGTGAAGTCATGCAATGAGAGGGCAATGAGGAACTGATGAGAAGAATTTATATTCAAGGCTCTCTCCTGTGTTTGCTCAATGGTAATTTCAGAACTGACTTTATAATAGATCTCAGCGCCTTGTATCGCATTTGCAAACAGGCATATGTCGAAATTCATGGAGAAGGTCTATTCTATCGCCAGAAGACATTCCACTTTACAACCACCTCCATCATGATGGACGTAAGTATTCCGTTCCTTGAAGACTGGCAAAGACTGACAATACCAAAAGTATCTCGCTGTTCTTCACCCAATTTCTCGAAACAAGATCACGAGCATCCACCTATCCGCTGCTGTATACCAAAACAACTATTTCGCTCCTAATTTGGTCTTCTCAATGCTGAATAGCATGGAATCCTTACGTACCGTGAGATTCAACCTGGTGGCTGTATACCATCATAGGGATCTGGACTCGCTTGCCCAATACGTCAGAAAGCACAAAGGACTGAAAAACTTGAAAGGCATCGAGAATTTCTCGTTCTATATCCAAAATCGTTCCAGTCAAGAACTATATGAAACCACCCCTGAAGAGAAGAGCCAGATGCAACTGCTTTGCAAGGAAATCGAGGACGCGAATGCAGCCAAGTACGCCGAACTTGTGAAGGCTTCGAAGGGTCAATCTGGTCAATAGATGATACATAGATCTTGGGGCCCACATTTGACGTACGAGGTGGTTATGACTACGACAAGGTAGCTCCGCTGCAAGCTTGTACATAACTGAGTGCCAAATCAGGATGCCGCAAGAAATATACTGTCAATGGAAGTACTTCACTCCAGCATTAGTCTAAGAAAAGTTCTTGTGATTTTCGGGTTCTATAATGTGATTGCTTTGTCAAGTCTCATGGGTAAGGTAAACAGAAACAATTCCCAAGCCGTCAAAATGTCTTGCTAGATATTCAAATTTAAGCTACCATATTAAGAAACCTCTGCCTTGTATCATTTCCTCGGTCTTCCCACTTCAAGTTTATCTCCTTGCGGGTTTCAATTCAAGTTCCATCTTATAGGTGATCCGATCTGCTACATTCTGTCGCGATTGCATGAGACGCGACAGTCATTGGCCATCATATAGACTACATTTAATTGTTGGCACTTGTAACATGTGTAAATAGATCTATGAGACCGACGTCGGTGAACCAGGACTGTCTTTTTTTTGAATGACCAGACCCACGTCAAGTACATTGGATAATGATCCAGCATCAAACCATTTCTTGAGCTTCTCAGATTGTGACCGTAAACTTTGCCAGGCAAACCAAAAATGCTCACTTACACAGTAGTCTTGCCCATCTTCACAAATTTACCTTTTTTTGGCTCCAGCCCGTCGTTGACAAACCCCATTTGTAAGAATGTGTAGCACAGGAGTAGGAGGTTAAAGGAGAGTGGTCTAAGTCTGCACTCAATAGGTCGTCGAATACCGCTGGAATCAGGACAAGGAGGCGGATTTCGTCAGACCTCAGACTCCAGTATAATTTGTGAGGCCCCATCTAGTGGTCTGCTTACTTTGGGAAAACTTCAACTAAGCAGTGTATACTGAATGTTTCATTGTCAATCGGATTTCCACAGCATTTGTTCTCCATACTAAATTAGGTCACCTGGCTTTGGACTGCTCTGTACTGCCTTGGATATTGCAGATACATAGGTACTGCGCGATAATAGCCATTGAGTTTTTGTCTTACTACAGTGGCACATCAAATGATTGCATGTGCTTCACGAGTGGGACGAGACCGGATCAATACTAAAAGCCTCGCATAAGTAACTCAATCATCTTAACAAATTAAGGCGAATATAAAATGGAAACTCTTGATTATCCTAAATAGCCCAAACAACCAATTTAGTTGTACGAGACTTTCAGGGTAATTATCAGGTCTCTTATACTACCTCGACTACCCGCTAGAAGGTTAGAGCCATTTAGCCGAGCCCCGTCACAATGCACGATTTGCCTAGCTTTTTTAGAAGTATAAATCTTGTTAATGAAAACTTAATTCCTTCTATAACCCTATAGTTAAGTATATTCACGCTGATTCTTTATAGATACACAAGTTATAAAGAAAGTCTTCATTAGTATATATTGTAATCTAGTATTAGATTTAGGCTGATTTTAGTACAAAACATAGTATCTTCAAAAACAGATAATACGCTTTATACCTTACCCCTAAGGTAATCTCCTGAATCCAAGAGAGACGAAAAATAGAAGGGGCTACTAAGATAAAAAGATCTTACAAAGGATTATATATATAATCGTAACCGTTTGTATTCTTTCTACAAGTAAATATACCAAGTTTGAGTATGAAAAGTAAAAAGGCTTACTTGGCACTCGTAGAAATTTCGCCTACAGTACCTAGTACTGTTGTTATACTAACGGTATCAAAACCTGGACATCCCCAATACAAGTGGCGGTGGCCAATAAAAGGGCGTCAACGCCACATGGTCGGTGCCATACTCGCATAGCCCCTTCTCGCTTAGGGGTTAGAGTACGAGTAAGCGGGATGGAAGATCGATCGGATTTAGCGCTTAGGGATCTGGTTTTCAGAAAAAAACACATTTCACTCTCCGCAAGGCGTCAAAAAGCATACTAAGAAATGTTAGCCGACTCCAAATTGACTTTTATAGAATACTGGTGCCTACCCAGCCAGCTACTTTTTACTTTGTTATAGTAGTGGGATGGTCAAACTTGGACTCACAAGGTACTCTGTAGTCTAATAACCTACTTGTAGGGTGGTGTGTCTACTCGAACTGGGTAAGTTAGTAGAGCGAACGATATGATACTACTATATATAAGCAACATATCATCTATAGTGAAGTAGTTTTTACACACACGGACAATCCTGTAAGCATGTTTTACGAGGAACGAATACGGTCGTAACGGGCTGTTCTTTCTTTCTTTCCTTCCTCGTATTATAAAGGCACCCTAGAGTTCTAGCGAAAAGGCAGTTTCCATCTTCATTACTATTGCTGGGAATGAAACCCACAAGCACCCTTATTATCAACTAACTCACTAGCCACAATCGAGACTTCTCAACCATACCCAGATTCCTATTCTACCTCACCCAAATAGCCATAAAATCCTCACCATGCCCTACTGACTGGAAAGTCCGAAGCTAAATATCCAAAAGAAAAGTAATAGCATAAAGAAATCCAACGACCCTTAGCAAAAGACAGGAGGTAGCATTACAGCACGAAACAAAGTCAAGGAAGGCCGTCGAGTTGTTGACACAAAGTTCGGTAAGATCTTACGAGTACGATATCGTCTCCTCTTCTCTGTGTCGCTCGCTTACCGTTCCAGATACCCGCAAGGGCTACCTGCGAACTCGGCGGCTGTTATTTTCCGACAAACATATACGACCTATGAACTCGGCAGCTGTCATTTCCCGACAAACACACTACTGTCTTGGGTACCCTGACCCTTCAGCATTGTTCCTGCAATAATGGCATATCCAAAAAGACCAATACCAAGACCAAGACCAATCTCCCATCGAAAAAATTCGTTTCCTCATCTCACCGACGCTCTCGAAATACCAATGTCCCCCGATTCGACACCCCGATGTCTATAGCTATTACACTAAAACCGACACCAGTTTACTTGAGTGACGAAATTAAGCTTAAAAAGTTCAAGAAGGCTTACTCGTACTGTATGTAAAAAAAGGTCCCCCGTTTGCTAAAAAGTCCGTGCTATAAAGTTGGTACAGGATTCCTCCTCGGCGGCATATGAAACACCCAGCCACCACACCACACGGTGCAGTAAGCGCTCAGGATCCAAAAAAAGAATGTTTTGTAATGTGATGGTAGCTGAAAAGCTGCGAATCAATTAGGCAGCAATCTATACCCCCCTTAAAGGCAAGATACAAGATAGCGCCTGTTATAAGAAACATTCAAGATGAGAGAGGACGAAACACAAGGACATCACGAACGGGCACAAACAACAATCGATAAGGGCCATTGAAAAAAATGTTGTTATCCAGATGGGGGAGGAAAACATCCAAACCCCCAAGACTAGAGTCAAAAAAATTATATTCATGAAATTATCTCTAGTCCAATTCCTTGAAATCTCGAGTCAACGGATATGGATCTAGAATATATGTATGCATCCCTCTCGCCCTCTTCCGATAGCGAGGGAAAAAATGGAAATCTCAGGTTATGGTTTCTACCATACCTAGAATATGAACTCCTCAGGCCATGATCAGCGCGGTGTAAAAGACAAAAAAGGGGTCTTCCAACGAGTAGAGATCGAATCACATGCCAAGCATGTTCATCTGTTGTATAATCATCATAATTATATCTTCCCTAGTCTTCTCAAAGGCGAGGCACTAATGCTCGAATCCTCACTTCCATAACATGCAGAGTCGGTATCGATATCCCATTCCACTTGTGCTTCAGCGTTCTCCTCAGCTCCGTCCCAACCCTTTTGTTGAGCACCGCGGGTGTTCCAGCGTAGGGTTCGAGAAACGCTGTCAAACCATTCATTACCACTTCTCGTGACCGTGGGGAAAGGATATTGCGACGCAGCGATGGTGACGTGATCGCCTTGCTTGAGTTCGACACGACCCTTCCCGTCAAAGGAACAATAGGCCGTGGCACGGGAATTTCGAGGAATTGATACTCTGAGGAGCATAGAATCCGAAAGAACCATGGGGCGGAAAGACAAAGTATGAGGGCAAATAGGCGAAAGAAGAATGGCGGGAATATCTGGGTGGACGAGAGATCCACCAGCAGACAGTGAGTATGCGGTGGAGCCTGTGGGTGTCGAAAAGATACAACCATCGGCTTGAACAACTGTAAGAAGTTCGTTGTCTCCGTACAACTCGAGGTTAGAGATGTAAGAAGATGGTCCACGGTCGATAACGAGCTCGTTTAGAACCTCAAACTGCTCACCCTCCTCCATGTCTTGACCAACTCCGTCTCGGTAGACAGTGCATGTGAAACGCATACGTAGGTTGACCCGCATGCCATCTTCTCCCATGACCTTGTTCAGGTGCTCCCTGAATCGATCATATTCAAAGTTGGTAAGGAAACCCAAGCTCCCCAAACTGAAGGACAAAATCGGGGGAACAATTCGTTGAAACAGCCAAGAAGTAAACAGAACCGTTCCGTCTCCGCCAAGGGTAAGTACCAAATCGAACTTCTCCGGCTGGCTCCAGCAGAGATCTGGCGACCAATACTTCAAAAGGTGTTGGAAACGAGGTTGAGCCTCGATCATATCCGCAGCACCAAAGCGCTTGGAATTCCGTAGTTTGGCATCCACATAGACAGTAACGCCCAAATCGGATCCATACCGGGGAGTGCTCATAAGCCAATGGGCTAGATCTTTGGTCAAGGTCACCAGTTGGTTGTCTCGGGCTTTAGTCACAATCATAACGGTGCGGACCGCCCTCTTAATCGGGCGACGTTGTAGTTGTTTCGACACCTCCCGAACACCTGTCGCTGTCTGCATTAAGCGCGAGTGTGACATAAATTCGTCTTCCTTGATTTCCTCGAGAACCTTATCAATGTTTACGGCATCATCGAATCGTTCGTGGTAAAAACATGGCGATTGCAACGCCGCGAAGCGAGGAGTGTTTGGGGATCCATTTCGACCGGCAAGGTCTGTAAGAGCTGCTGATAATTTTTGCGATGAAGCCGTGCCGGGTCGTTCAGCTGCTAGAGCGGCCATCTCTTTGTATGACGATCCGAGAGACAGGTTGTGTGGGTTGTGGTTTCGCCCAGCAGATGCGAGTGCTTTAATAATGGTTTGTTTGGGGATCGCTTCGATTGACAAGGCGCTCTTTTTATGAGCGTGGAAGGTTTGTTGGCCTTTTGGTAGAAATGCCGGCGATGAAGGCAGTGATGCAGCCGCAGAATTACGCCCTACTGTTGAGAAAGTTGAGAAGGATCCAAGTGGACCATCGCGGGGTGAATCCAAAAGATATGTGGAGTTCAATGGGCTTCGAGCTGACTGACCTCTCTCCACTGTGGGTGAAGTTCCATTCACACCATATTGATAGCTTGGATGCGCCGGGACGTCGGCAGTCTGAGAAGACAATTCATCAATCTTGGACAGCGTGGGAGTTGGAGCAGAATTGAGCTTAGTAAGAGAGAGCAGAGGATGGACGGTCGGCGACCGTAAGTCGGACATCTCGGGGGTAAAATTCGAATTCCGAACGGAATCCAAAGATGGTGCAGGTGTCGGGTGCTAGTGGGTGAACTAGCAACGGTGCGGCGTATGAGTAACAGGGGACCTGTGCTTGGAACCCAAATCGTCGGCACTTGCTGCAGAAACACGGTCCAGTCTCAAGCAGCCTCAGTCAGTGGGGTTGGAGCCGCAAGGTGCCACAACAGCAATAGATGCGTGTATGCAATTATGGTGAATTGGACGACAATTCAATGTAAAACGTGTGGTGATCTATTAGGAATAATCTGAATGGCACAAATCATTAGTCTCGGGAAGCTTTGACTGTCACCACCGCGGTCTCGAATCGAAGGCCAACGATATCACGTTGCCCGCGTGATGAGGACGAGAGCCCAAAACGGACATGCGAATTCATCCGGGGAAATAGCTTACACGATGCTTTATTGGCCGTGCTGCCAGTGGCCGATAATTATACCACGTGGGAGGGTATCTTGAGATGCAGAAATGGACGAAAGAAGAGACGCTCAGTCTAGCAGCAGCAAAGTATGTGATGAATTGACGCCGGGTAAATGCAACCAAATAGTTTACGCTATGTGTAACCGAAGGACAGGCGAAAAGAGGGTGGGAGGAGAGCGACGGCGCGGAAATATATACGAATAAGAGAGTGCGGGGAAAGGCACAAAAGACAAGCTGCCAGAGCTCTGCCGTCACGTTGAAGCTGGTGGCTGTTGGGTCTAGGGGGAAAGACTGAAGCAGAAAAGAAGAGAAGGCGCCAACAAAAACTTCGGAAAGAAGTGTCTTATACGAGACCTGCCAGATGAGAGCCGTGTAGGGAGCCACGTACCGCGCAATGCGCATCGTCAATGGATCCATTGATCTCCATATTCGCAGGCGAGCCGTTTGGTCCTGTTGCAACTTGCAATCGTCTCGAAAGGATCACGGACGGGCCCACACAGAAGCGCTCCCAGCGTTTCCACTGGGCCTGTACCTGCAGACAGTGGCTGTTTATTCGCCAGGTCCACAGTAGTTCGGAATAACTGTATCAGTGACAGTTAATTGACGCAATTGCATTACCAGTATAAGCAGACTTCAAGCAGAACTCAAGCAGAACTCAAGCAGAACTCAAGCAGAACTCAAGCAGAACTCAACTGGAACGAACCGCGGTCGCCGAGTGGCCAGTTCTCTTGAGTTCGCTTGGGTGTTTTGGGAACAAGAAATCAAGACAACATCTCTTATCGAGCGTCGGCGCTGGAGGATCACACAGTTGAGCGACTCCGGTTTTATCCGTCTGATGTTGGGTGGGGGGCAGCGGAAGAGCAGCAATCCTGACGATAGCCCAGATCGGTACTGTACTACTACTGAGTGTCAACGCGGAGAAAGGAAATAGTCGAGGCTATTCGCTTGTGCCTAGCGAATTGGACTTCATTGGAGAACTGGGAGCGGGTGAAACATTGCGGCGGGTCAGCCTGTCAGGGCCTGCCAACTCAAAACCACTGCTGGACAGAAGACCTGAAACACCGTTTGGTTTTCCGAGTCGACCTTTCTTTGGATCCTTTCTTTTCTTTCACACTTCTAATTTCGTACAGATTGTTACCGTAGAGCTGTTCGTGACAGCCAGCTCTGTAACTCAAGTCCTTCCGAGTGGGAGACGTCAAATGTGGGTGGTCGCAAGCCGCCGTTGACGATTATCCCCAAACCTGGAGTGCGATTCAACCACCCCTCTTGCTTACGAGCTGTATCAATCGACTGGTGGTACACCGGTTTCTAGTTCCCCCAAAACGCCACCGTTGGCGTTTCCGCTACATTATCACAGCAATATCCCAGGTAGTTACCACGTTTTTGGCCCGTGAGGAGTTCCTGTCTGTAAAAGACAAATCTCAACGATCCGGCTTAATTCTTGACGCATTCAGGGAGACCAATGATCACGTGTGCCAATGAAGATCTTGTGCAACCTTCTCCCCCATGGCTGATTTGACAAACTCCAACATGTTCCCTTTACCATCCACCCCTTGCATAGCATTATCGTCGATCCTGTTGTGTTCAGCGTGGCACAGCGCCTTTACTGTTTCAAACACCTCCTCCCAATCCTCCAATGTGAATGTTCCCTGACTTTCTACGACTAATGGCTCTCCATGCGAAGTAAACGCCATTATATGGACCGAGCTGGCGCTCTCGAATTCTTTGAGACTTGGATGGGTGATGAGTTTCCGAGACTTTCCATCCGCGTGAATGGCAATTGAAACCGAAGTCAGAATCGTAGCTAATGGCATAGACGCGGACAACAGTGCCAGGACGGCAGTCTGGAGTAGTGCGGGGAGGATGGCTAAGTGCTAAAAAAGGGAAAATCAGTCTCTGTCTTGTAGAATGAAGCTCCGCAGCATCGTACCGAACCAGCCTGCACAACTTTCGAGCCCGTGTTCTTATTCTCTGGTGTGTTTGTAATTTGGAGCGTGACTTGAATCAAGTGTCTGGGGAAGTTATGAACGAGGATGATTTGGCGGAGGGTTGAATGTAGGATCGATTCCAAGTGCCGCTCCCTTGTGCCTAAACAAGTTTAGTCAGAACAGACACCTGGAGGCATCAAGCCAACGGGCACACTTACCTCCTACACCAGCTGCTGGCCTCACAAGCACCTCAATGACTGCTTCTTCTGGTAGCTCGTGGCGTCGCGGGACTTCAATAGGACCATTGACGGCGCCAATGACCGTATAGCCGTTTTGCGAGAAGGTTGCAGAGCCATCTGCGCGATGCAGATGCGAGAGGAGGACCGAAGGCTCCTTGGAGGCGACCATCTTTTTGCTACACAGCTGTGCTGTGGTGTGCGGTTGCGGTTGCGGCAGAGGAAGCTTTGGGGGAGTGGTCTGAAGCAAATTAGTTTGGCTGCTGTACGAGTGCTCTGAGTAGGTGAATATTTCTAGAAGCATTCCATTCCGCAAGCTTGATGCGCGCTACTGTAATGCGGGGGGGCCCGCCCCTCCATCAACCGTTGACCCAATACGAGTAGCTTCCGTACCTCTTCATCAACACCACGAATCCACCACCCCGGTACCAAATATACAAATATGCCATCGAGCACAGAAACCCCAGGCTCGGCGAAAGATACAGCACCAGCTATCCCAAACTTACGAGACCGTCTCCCCAAGATTGAACCTCGAAGACGACAAGCCCCTCCCTCGAACCCTCTACCCGTCCCTGAAACTCCAGATTTACCTTCACCTCCAGATCCAGCGACGATAAGTTTTCAGAAACCATCAAGACGAATCCTATCGCCTCAGGATCACGAGCTCTTCCTATCCTCCCCTGCATACAAGCTTCTTCTCGCCTTCATTTTTGGTCTCACAGACTCTGTCGTTGACACTCCTGCATCTGCGGTTCGAGACGGTGAAGTTAGCCCTTCCGTAACGAAATTACTCGCCATTATAGACAAGGTTGAAGACGTAGTCAATCGAAGCCCACCAGAGGATCAAGGAGACTCGAGATTTGGCAACAAGGGTTTCCGGGATTTCCTTGACCTGGCAGATAAGGAGCACGCAGAGTGGCATAGAGAGCTTGGCTTGTCGTCTGACGAGGCGATATCAGAAGTGTCTACGTACTTTCTTCAGGCCTTTGGAAACCGTACACGAATCGATTATGGCTCTGGCCATGAGCTGAATTTTATGCTATGGCTCTTGTGTCTTTACCAACTTCGCATTGTCGACCGTTCGGATTTTTGCGCCCTCGTCCTTAAGGTATTTACTCGCTACCTCACTCTTATGAGAATTATACAGTCGACATATTATCTGGAGCCCGCAGGCTCACATGGAGTATGGGGTCTGGATGATTATCAATTTCTTCCATTTCTATTTGGTTCCTCTCAGCTTTTACACCACCCATTCATTCGTCCCCTCTCAATACACCAAAGTCTTACGCTGGAAGAATATGGAAAAGATTACCTGTATCTGGGCCAGGTAAACTTCGTCAATAGCGTCAAGAACGTCGAAGGATTGAGATGGCATAGTCCAATGCTGGATGACATATCGTCTGCCAAGTCATGGACGAAAGTCGAAGCAGGCATGAGACGTATGTTCGTCACCGAGGTCCTCAAAAAGCTTCCAGTCATGCAGCATTTTCTTTTTGGGTCTCTCATTCCAGCTGTTGATGGCATGAACAAGGAGGAAGAGCTCGGAGTGCCAAGCGAGGACGAAGAGACAGAAGGTGGGGAAGTAGTTGTCATGAAGGACGGCATGAAGCATGTTCATCAAATGAACAGTTGGGGTGACTGCTGTGGTATCAAGGTTCCAAGTAGCGTAGCTGCTGCCCAAGAAATGAAGAAGAGAATGGGCGGTGGTGGAAATGGCTTGCGACGAATCCCATTTGATTAATCTTCAGGGTAAAAAAATGAATATTGATCCAAAAGCTACGATTACATATACTTCATTTTTTCCCAGTGTCTTTTTACTTGCAAGCGGATTAAGTCAGGTACTAACATTCAGCACTACAAACCGAATATCACGTAATCTGCCTTCATGATTGGAGCACAATATCAACAGGCAACCTTACAAACACCCCTTACGACCACCATATCACACACGCGAATTGAAGTCAACAATCAAAAAATACTACAGAGGGATGACGAACTTCGTTTTTGCTGTTTCCGCGAGTGTTTTTTTTTCCTCTCGGGTTTTTTCTTGGGTGTTGTGGCATTTTAGAATTTATTATTAGATCTTGCGGGTTAAGCGAGGGGTTGTGGGAGGATCTGCTGGTTTTTAGCGACTATTGCCGCGTCAGACTAATAGATTTCAGCGGAAGGAATATGTAGGACACCACATTTTCATCAATTTGAACAGCCTCCCAGTGTCACCAGCTATATACATTGAACTTAATATTTGGTACTTCGAACCTTGTGTACTCGAATCAATGAGGAGGAGAGTAGGAATGTGTTAACTACTGAACTTCTTATATTACCTATCTTGAAATCTACAGCGAAGGGTTGATACCACAACGAAGTATTATTTTTTTAGAGCTGGCGGGAAGGATCGGTTATACTCGATAAAATATCAACACCTATCAATTCTCTCATGAATCTATGGTAGACCTTATCACAGAGCTACTCTTTCGCCAAATCACCTGGTAATATTCTCAGGGCCGAAATAATAGACATGTATTTGTGGTCTCCCAATTCCGTAAATAGTTGATTTCGTAATTTTGTTCGCTCGGCCTATTGATGTACCCTTGGTTCTTTTGATATGCTGGAAGCCTGGAATGGCTTCCTTGTGAATTGGAAGTCTTGTAAGAGGTTTGGGTCATGAGAAAGGACGGGAGGAATGGACTTGTACGACAGTGGTGTCAAGAGGTCTAGTGCATTCGGCTATGGCCATAAGCGAAGGGGTGAAGATCTCCTTGATCTTGCAGATTTGGTCCTGAATAGTGTTTGACTCATCAAGGATTGAGCTCTTGTCTCAACTTTAAATCTGTGTACCTTACTTGTCAGTCGGATATGACTTATTCAGTGGCGCCCAGATTCATCTCTCAATTCTTCGTCTCTATACCGCACTCGTGACTTGAAAATTAATAATTATTCAGTGCTTATTTGAATTCGTAACCTTAATAATCCTAATAGGCTAATACCTATGTTTCCCTTCTTTGCATGCCACCAGTAGGCAACGATCTGCTTCTAAGCAACGATCTGTCTTCAAACCTTATGTACAAAATAAATGATCCCAGTACCCCAAGTGTCAATATACCATGTCCCCAGCCGATAGGCTAATACCTATGTTCCTATGTAGCCCAATCAATAGGCTAGTACCTATATCCATGATGGACTACCCATTCAATGGGCTAATACCCAAGGTAATCTGACTCGAACAGAATTTGAACGTCCTCTGCATCTATACCAACCTGCCTCTCTTCAATCATTGGACCCTTCCTTGCTGGAACGGAGGCAATTTGAAGGGAGGTAGTCCACCGCGAGACAATCGCAACGCACTTTCATTATCCCAAATCAACTTCCAAAGAGCCATTCTAAACCAACGACCAAAAAGCTCCACCAAGGCCTGGCACCAAGAAGTCCGCCGTTCAATCTGAGGTTGAGTTTGTATTGTAATAGAAGGCCAAGGGACATGTTCAGGCTCCTTATTAAGAACCCAATGAAACTGAGCCCACATCATGTTCATTCTCTCAGTGCCGTCAGTCCAACGGCCTGCCTTCTTCTCCTGTACTCGTCTCTTCTTCCTCCACTCCTCGCTCATAACCTCCTCTGGCTTCCTGCACATCTTCCTCTTCTTCCCTCGAGGCTCCCAGAGCATGATGCTTCGTTCCACCCCAATCCTGTCAGTCTTCTTTCGCTTCAACTGATTGAATCCCCTCGTCAACTCCAGATTCTCATGTCTCGAAACAATCCATTCCTGCAATCCCTCTCTAATCATCTCCGCCCTCTCCTCAATCTCCTCCAAAAAAGAACGACCCCGAAAATCCTCAAAAACATGCTTCCTACTAGCCCACCACTCACTCGGTACCCTCGCCAAACCCCGTCGTCCATAAGCCTCCCCAACAAACACCATCTTAAACCCCATCCCCTCCACATCCTCCCACCTAATAAAAAACGGCGTATTCTGCCTCTCAAAACTAAACCGTCCAAACCCATCCCTAGTCCTCACCACATCCTCCGGAATCCCCAACCCATCCGCCCTCTCCCCATACTCCCCATCCCTCTTCCTCTCATTCTCCCTCAGCCGACTCTCCATCAGCAATTGCAACGCACCATAATCCCCGGCGAGGTACTCCTCTGTAGCATACAGCTCCTGCTCAAAATCACGATAGAAGGCGTCCGGATTCTGCGCCTCCCACATCTTCCGACGGAGGTCGTGGAAGCGGCCCCACCACCAGACTTCGCCCTTGCAGCGCGCTCGGTTCCAGCCGGAGTTCATGTTGATTCCTGGAAAGGGGTTCTCGTGCTCTTTTACCATGCAGTGGGCTAGGAAGGAGCGGGAAGAGCGGTGGATGGTGAGGGCATGGTGGATTTCGGAGGGGGTTAACTCGCTGGTTTGTTCTGTGATGGGGGAGGGTGGTGAATTGGAAACTGAGGATAGTGGTTGGAGGGATGTGAGTAGTGATTTGACATCGATGGGCTGTATGATTGGGAATGTATAAACTCGGGGTTCAATGGCCCGGAGGGTGTTTTGGTAGTATGCTGGTTCAGTGTTCCAGTGGAAACGTGAGGACGTGTTACCGGGATAGATGGAGAGGTTTTGGAACGGGTTTGTGATCTCTACTTCTTTCTCCTCTTCGTAATCTATGGATGATGGAGCGCAAATTTCCTCTTCGCTGTATGAAGACGGTGTCGTGGTACCAGACTCATTGACACCATTGCCAGTAGTGTACGTGACGAAAGCAGTCACCGTAGCAGCGTTCCTCCGCGTGAAGCCAATTTCCAAGGGTTTAGCAGGAGAGGCAAAGCCTATGATAATACTGTTCCTTCGAAGTCAGAAATCTTATCTCTTATCATTTTGGGCGTCTTTGCGTCGTGGAAGATAGGGCGTGTGTTTGCCAAACACGTGAGTTTGATCCACGCACGATGCTTAGGGGTTCCCGAAGGAGTGTATCTTACATACCTCTGTCGCTCACACCAGCTTCTGAGGTGCGACAGAGAGGTACCCAGACCCTTGGCCATCCATCCATCTCCATGAACTAGCGGCGGCTTCATGCTTCGAGCTGATTTGTCACTATTCAAAGGCAATTTCTTGGTGTGGATCTTGGTTCGCTAAGCGAGGAGGTTTGGTAAGGTTGAAACGTGGATGCGCAGGTTTTGATTGCACAGCAACCAGTTGTGGAAAGGTGGTTGGTTGTTGGAGCCTCTTCTATCGAAGGCCTAGAAAACGATCGTGTTGTTTGGTTGTTGTGGTGTTCAGGACGTGGAGTGTAAGTAACGAAAGACTGGAATGGAAGACTGTGTTGGTAGAAGAACGAGAGGATAGAGAGTCAGGAGTCAAAGATTCGAATGTATTATTCATATCGGAGAATCTCGGCGAGATTGGCAATTTGTCTATAAAGTGTTGGGAGTCACTAATGGAATATTTACTTCCGATAGCGGGCTCGGGGTAGCACCTCCCGTGGTTGAAAAGTGAATTTATACACTTCTATTTTCGTTTTTGAATGGATTAAATGTGGACCCAATCAGCTTGCTTGGATTGTAATGTGCAAATGTTTCATCTATTGTGCGACATCACTTCATGAACTACTTTCGGCTCCCATTCTACTTGAGTGCAAGTTTTTCGAAACAATATCTCAGCGGTGTTTGCTTCACACTGAGTACTTCACGCAACTTAGTACTAAAATACATCCATATCAATTCAGCCACCCCCTTGACGCATCTCTGTAATAGAACCATTTCACTATTCTTCCAAATCTCAGGGGAGACAGTAACATGACGTGCTTTGATAGTCGTGAGCCTGCGCAGCAGAAGTGAAGGGAAGATATGTAGACTACTGTTTAATGCAACAGTCTATGCAATATAACTATATACATTACTATCGTGAGCCAGTCAATAGATCCGAGATAACTCAATTGATCAGTTGCCAGGTTCATGTTACTGCGGACTTGAGTCTTGACACTCGGGGTATTACTTGATTCGAGGGTAATGAAAGTCATACGATACTCATATTCACCAAGCGATGACTTCATGACTCCCAACAGGCATAGGATGCATCGAGATCACAGCACAAGTCACCAACCACCTCCTTAAAGAATTTACACTACCAAGGAACTATTATTAGTTTATTCATCAAATGACTTCCTACCCCGTCAAAGAGGACTTATAAAATTCACGTCTATCAACATCAAAAACATCAAAAACAACTTTACTTCATTTCTTCAGCCACCTTGATAAATGGACACAAGAGATTCCAAAAAGACGCACGAAAATATAAACAGAGAAAAAAGTTAAAAAAAAGTGGATATTCATTAACAATAACCATAGACAATAGGTATACCCAAAGACACAAATATCCGGGCATCGTGTACTCCAAACACTCCAATCCACCCACCCGGGCAAAACCAAGCAACACCAAAAAACACCTTCCAGTTTTCTTCCTAAAAAAGCAACCTTTCCCCAACCCCACAAAACTTTACCCATTATCGCCAATTTCCTTGGCTCAAAGATAGCAATCCCTGCACACAATCCAAATCTCCCTTCTTACTTGGACTAATCTCACCACTCTGCATAAACTTCGTCACTTCATCACCTGGAGCGGGAACAGCAATCGGTTGATCCTCAAATACTTCAGCTGCAACATCCTTAGCTCTGCGTCGTCGCTTGTTAGCAGCACCAAAATCGACCGCATGGGTTGGAACGGTGTGGTTATCACCGAGCACAGTTCTTGGGACACTGGATTTTGTTGGTTTTCCTGAAGGCAATGGTCGACGTCGAGGATTGACTCCATTCTCAGTAGGGGTCCAATTCTCCTTATCCGAATCTCCTGAGGGAGATCTCATCAAGCCACCACCATCTTTGGGCTTGAGTACTGTATCTTGCGAGACTTTACCAGGAGTCTGCAGCCTGGCAAGACTTGAAGTCGCTCTTCCTAACTTGGGTTTCTTTCCTGGTGTTCCGATATCACGTTTCGAGGGGGGTGCATTTCGTTTGTTGTTATTTGTCTTGAGGGCTGAATTACTGGTTTTGCGAAGAAGACTGATTGCAGCGAGAGCGGAGCCATTCGATTCATTTTCAGCTTGAGCAGTCAACTCATCGCGAACACCCAAGTTACGGCGGAATTCCCAGATTCGGTTATCTCTGGAGCTACCTGTAGGAAGCCGAGGAGGTAGCTGAGCGCTTGTTGCTGCCGATGGAAAATCTCTTGGGGGAAAGCTCAGAGGCAAAGCGCTTTGACTTCTTTGAAGAGTTCTCGCTCGTTTTTGTTGCGTAAAAGTGCTAGGTGAAGATGGGCGGGGAGAGATGCGCCGGGGAGGTGAGGGTGAAGGAGATGCATCAGTTGTAACAAGTTCAGCTTTACCATCAAGTGACATGGATAGTCGTACTCGTGTAGGCCGAGCAGAGGTTTGTGAACCCCCTACGCGCTTTGGACACGAATTAGGTTGGGTTACAGTGGTACTGAAATAAGTTAGCGGGGAGCTCAGTGCCAGCGCAACTGAATTACCTTTGTGGAGTTGTGAATTTGGTAGCCTGGGCGGACGAAGGTGCTGAAAAGGAATTTCCTACGTGGACTGAATTCCATCGATTGGACAAATATCCAGGTGTTGAGGAGAACGATTTTGAGACATATTCTGAGAATGAGCTGCTTGTGCTGCTAGTGGCAACAACCGAATCCTCACAACGCTCAGTAATCGGAGTTGCGACTGGGATAGTTGAGTCCTCCTTTTCTAGAATAGGTTGCTCATTTTCGATTATTGCTCTGGCGCTTTCTTCGTCATTTCGTGGATCCAAGAATTCCTCCTTCTCTTGTGAACTTGTGAAACCCTCTTGGCTGTTAATTGGTTCTTCTTGTCGTGGACTCGATGCGCGATCGGAGGCACCCTGGCTACTACTACAAGATGCGGAAATAGGGTCGGATGATAACGGCGTCATTCCTCCTCCAAGTCCAAATGCTGCGATCTCGTGTGGTAGAAGTGGGCGCGATTTTCTTCTATTGATTTGGCGACGATTTTGGAACCATATCTAACAAAACGTTAGCCACGAAACAACACACACGCTTCACCAACCATGAGAGGCATTGTATATATTGCGGAAACTCACCTGGACTTCTTTCTCGTTCAAGGTGACCTTTTCTACAATATCCGCACGCGCCGCCTTATTCGGTTTCGGGTTGCGTTTGTATTCGGCCTCGAGGATAGCTTGGTCTTCGGGCCTGGCGCATCCACGTCAGCATGTAATTCGCATGCAATTCAAATGCAGCTCAAATGCAATTGAAATTTAGGGGTGGGAATGCAAGACTCGCTTGCACACTCGACATTGCGATGGACGGCTTGGAACATACCTAGTTCTTTTGCGCCTCTGCTTGCTGCCAGTTTGATTGTCGGCGGATACCTCAGCGCCATCTCCCATCACAGAGGACGATCGGTGTACACTAGATGTACGTACGGTGTCTTGTTCCACATGATCCTTTGCTTCGATTTCTGGGCGCGGTGAGGAGCGGGGTGGAGGCAAAGTCGCGTCACTCATTGTGACTGATGTTCACAATATTCTGTCTGCTACAAATTATGGCAATGGTAATGGGTACAAGAGAATGATATTCCGTACAGAAAAGATTGAATATCACACAGAAAATTGATGTGGTGTGGGAAGTAAGTATTGTAAGGTGGAGGAATATGGGAAGCGGAAATGGTGGAGAACCAGATTGACTAGGATAAATACTCCAAGTCGCGACCAACCACCACCCGACGCGTTCTGCACAAGCCTAAGCTTGTTTGTACAGGTGCACAAAGTCAACATAAAACCACTTTAAGCATAACAATCAACATTCAAGTCAAAACAATCTTCATCGAAATTGCTCATTTACTTGCGAAGTGACTTCGTAGAAATTCATTGGTGTTGGGTCTGAATTTGATTATTCACTATTTTACTATTTCACTATTTCAAAAAATCAGTATTTCAACAATCCACCATCTCAAAGCTCACAACAAATAAACTTCATTCTCCCATGATCTTCCACAATTCCACCAGAAAAAAGAACAACCATCAACTCTCCTCTCCTCTCCCCTCTACCCCTAGGATAAAATATCATATACTTACTCCGTACATAGCCATCACCAACACTATTCTAGCAGCAATAACAAAGAATTAACATAAATAAGAGACATAAAACCAATTCAAAATCAAACTTACAATCCCCAAAGCAAGAACTATTCCTTACCTACTCCCAATATTTCCCCTCATCAAAGTATCAAACAAGCGCATCATTCTAGCACGTACCCATCTTCAAGGACAGAAATTCATACCTGATTACACTTTCTTTCCCCATTGCAGTACAGCGTACTTGTAGCAGTAAGGTATCTCAAATCTGATATAGCATATAGTGCAATTGTAAGACTCGTACATACATTATCGGATCTCAAAATTCCAATCACAACCAAAAAAGAACTCACTCAACCAATTCCATTTCCAAACCTACCTAGGATATCGTCTTGAAAGCTACCTATCTCCCTACGTACCTCGCATCTCCAGCCAGACTAGGTACCAACAAAGAACAGCACAAAAATAGATTTGTGCAAGAGAGTTATCCACAGGAGGGGTAGATCGGGGCATTGATCACTCACCGCTCCACTCCACGAACTAGGCCAAGACCAAGCTTAAAAATTGGGAAGAAAAATGATTGCGTCAGTATGTCTCTCCCTATGTAAATCAGGATATCATCAGGTCATGGACATTTGGGTCAAGGACTATGGCTTTTTGGGTCTAGCTACTAAACTGCTTAAGGCAGCGATATCTCGTGGGTCGCAGCCAACTCGACTATGGTATTGCTCATTGCTCGTAAAAGATTCCTCCATACCCCCCAATTCCTCCACCCATCCTCCCAAACTTCCACACGCTCGGTGCGCGTTGAAGATTATTCATGCCTTGAAAGAAAAACAGAGCCTAAGTAATTTGCTTCTACCTGCCAGATGAACCGACAAAAATGCAAAATCGCCGAAAAAAACAACATTCTAGGATTTTCGAGAACCGGGAATGGCTAACGCCTTGAAGAACGATGTATGCATTTACAAATCACCATCATCCTCATCTGGAAGAGGCATTTGTGCAGCATCCTCCATTTCCTTCTGGTAGGTGGCGAGCAATTCGGTATCGACAGTGGCAGTTGGTGGGGCAAGAGCCGGGGCAGCAACGAAGTCCTAGCACGTTGTTAGCGGGGTAAAAAAAAATTGTTGCAAACATCATCTCAAACTCACCAAAGCTGGGTTTCCGACAAGTTTACGGGCCAACCAGAGGAAAGGCTTCTCGAAGTTGTAGTTGGACTTGGCGGAGATGTCGTAGTATTGGAGGTTCTTCTTGCGGTGGAATGTGATGGCCTTGGCCTTGACCTTTCTCTCCTTAACATCAACCTTGTTTCCGGTCAAGACGATTGGAATGTTTTCGCAAACTCGGACCAAGTCACCTAGATCGCAACGATTAGTCAAGGTGAATAAATAGCTGGGCAATATAGACATACGGTGCCAGTTGGGGACGTTCTTGTAGGTGATTCTGGAGGTAACATCGAACATGATGATACCGCACTGTCCGTTGATGTAGTATCCGTCACGGAGCCCTCCAAACTTCTCTTGTCCTGCGGTATCCCAAACATCGAATTGAATTTGACCCAAGTTCTGTGCCTACGTTAGAGATAGTGACGGCATCGCGGGGTCGTCTAAACCTACCGTGCTGAAGCCGAGAGGGTGAACTTCGACACCAAGGGTCGCGATATACTTCTTCTCGAACTCTCCGGTCAAATGGCGCTTGACGAAGGTGGTCTATCGTAGGTTAGGTTAGTGATGCGATATCATCAGATGCGCCGCCATTATCGATTCCAGAGCGATATGAACTCCAGCGACAAGCATGGACAGCGCATCCAGAGAATCCTTAATGCGTACCTTTCCAGTTCCTCCATCACCGACAAGCACAAGCTTGAAGGTTGGGACGGTTGCAGCAGCGGCCATGGTTGTGATTTTGTGGTGTGGTCGAAAATGAGGTAAACAGAACGAGGTAGATATCCCAAGGCTGCGATAAAGTGTTAGCGCACGAAACGGCGGTCCTTGCAGATGCTGGGCGGATTTTGATGATGGAGAAGGTTGGTTTGTGACCGTACCTTTAGTACTGCGCTTTCGTTGGGGACGTGGTGGAGTATGATTTGGTCTCGCGGAAGAGGATGTTTTGATCACTGCAAGCCCTTGAAGGCGGCCGCGGCGGTGGTAAAAATTAGCTAAGCGATGGCCATGTCACGTGTGGCGATTCACCTTTTCTGAGGTGGTTGGACGAAGTAACATTTTTGTCAGGCAACTTTCAACTCAAGGCAACCATTCAACTCATCAAGCAATTGGACGAGATCACAGAGAGAATCTTCTATTTATTGCTCTATATTCTTCTTATTTCTGAATGTCTGAAAAGTACAAGGTTGTTTGTTGTACAGTGCCGCCAGGTCCACTCAACTCTCCCCCGGAATGAGGGGTTCAATTACAGAGCTGGCATCTCGAGACCCTCTCGACTTTCGACCGCTCAACAGATGTACTTTTCCTCGACCAAATGCCAACCCGCAAAAACTCCTACGAAAACTCCGGCCGATACATACCTGGCTTTTTAGAAGAAGATTCCGATCACATTTGAAGAACATCGGAATCTACCCAACGCAACTCCCCCATTATCAGTTTGGGAATTTCGATGGTTCGTTGTAGAACGAGTCATCGATACTTGCACCTTATCAGAGTGGTAGGATATGACATCCTAGGAGTCCACGTCCACCCCAGTCACGTCGTGGAACCAGAGTCAAATTTAGTTCGTGTTGTTGGGAACCAGCCGTTCGAGATACCTTGACCAAGATTTCCCGCTTCATTTATTAGCTCACGCCCGTGGGAAATCGAGAGAGGTCCTCTTACCCCTTCATTTCCTGCTACACATTCGGCCACCCTTTTCAATCCATCGTGGTTGGTGTTGTTCACGTATCCAAAATTACGAATGACGTCTCCTGCCTTCAAGCCTGCACTGTCGGCAGGACTATTATCGACTAAGCTGTTGACTTTTGCAAAAGCTGGACCGGACGGTTGTGAAGCTGGTGTTGAGGGCGACAGGTCCATTCCACTTGGGCCGTTTGTGTCATTCGTGCCATTTGTGCCATTTATGGATTCCTCCGTTCCCAACTCCTTCTGCCTCGCAAAGTGTTCGTGTATATGCTTCTCGATGACATCCATGATGGTCTTGTAGTCATTTCGGAGGTGGATGATACGGGATCTAGTTGTTCGTACTGTAGAAAAGTTGGCAATGAATGCTGAGCTATGTGTGGAAGGACATACTTTGTGCGACATCCAGATCAGCACGAGGGAAGCCATCGGAAGTGAGAAGACTGGTATTCATATCAACTCCATGCTACTCTTCATTAGCTTTGGGACTTGGGAGTCCGAACGGCAGCTTACCGACTGCAAAACACCTCCAAGGGCGCTCATTTCTGCCTCGATGTTCTTCTTCTTCGCATCAAGTTGGGCAAAGGTCATGCCGTTTGTTTGTAGACCATTTGTACCAGCAGGACCTGAAGTTGGTCCTGATTGAACTGTGGGCGCATGTAAGTTTTCCATTCTGAGTGGTAATCCCATTTCTCGATGGTAGAGTTTAGTTGAGGAGAGTTGCGTTACTCATGCAAAAGGAAGTATTGTAAGTTGTTCAGCCTTGAAGCATCAGGCTGCAGAATGCCGCGTTTTGGCGGGGTAAAGCAGTTTCACTCATAAAGGGCCGTGATTGGCCAATCCTGGCTCCACCACTTATCTGAACATTCCATCGACTGTCTTAACCTAGGTATTAATGCTATGGACGAAATACGATTTCGGTTAGTACCTCAATCAGGGTACTGTAGCTGCGAGAAATCTAGATCTACGATCGAAGAACCCAGCTACATAAATAAGGGTAGTTAGCAATATCCCGAAAGTCACTTGGTTACACCTGAAGTACTCATAGGTAGAAACTTCAAGTCCGAATAATTAATCTCTTCTCGATTCTCTCCCTTCCCTTCTCTTATTTCAGCAGTTTTGACGACTCCAGGATTTGTGGATGGCATCCTCAGTCTCACCTCCTACACACGAAGCACATTTAGAATATGAAGCTATCCCACAGTCATCAAAGGCACCGATTTCATATATTCAACCATAAAATGCGGTGACCAAATCATATTCGGTACTTCAGATTCCCTCCCTCCCACTCATAGCACAACTCGCCAATGGCCAGGACCTTTGATACCTACACGACCTCGACACTCCAGCGAGAGTATATCTATGGAAACAGTATTGCTCTCCTTTTGCTGCTCCTGGACGTATCAACATGGAAGGAAAGTCTTTCTCGCCTCGGTAGATCGGCTAAATTTTCTTCTGCTGTGTTGCCTACTTTGCGTCATTGTTCTCGCTACTCAAATGTATCATTATCATCATCCCTGTGTTTCTAAACATCCTTGGATGGTTCTACGATGGTCATCAGAAATGAATACAGGCAGTAATCTTCTGCTTTCCTTCTATGAATTTTTACTGACCAATGAAAGCAACCTCGTCTGCCGTGTCAAAGACATGGATGCAAAAAAGGCGAATTCGCCTTCAGGTGGCAAAGGTGTGGCTGATCACTCTAGCACACCACCTCCCAACGATAATAATCGAGGTGCATCACAACACCCGTTGAACAACATAAATCTTCCAACAACAGGAGATTCCTTCATGGAATTCCTTTCGTAAATACAATTACTGTTGAGATGCGGTGCTAGTTCCATTCGGAAGATCGGATGTTAAGGTTAGCCTTGGTGGCTTTGCAAGTTACCTAGGTTACTAAGTCAGGCACTGCATTATCAACAGAGGTGGTCGAGCCTTCCTTAGAACGCTCCAAAACGTCATATGTTGAATGTTGAAGCATACATTCACCTTTCCCTACCTACACCTACTTTCTTTACAAGATGGAAGGTATTGTCTATTGCAACTTCCCCTCTCAAAGACAAACTCAAGTTAGCGTCTTTGCACCCAATCCCTCCCAAGTCCATCCATTCTCTCTCTCCATCCCCATTCTCATCTTGCAAAGCATGTTTTGATGCAGCCAGACTTTGCTGTTGCTGCTAGCAGGACTTTCTTGGTTTCTTGGGAGGAATTTTGTATTAACATTTCTTGGTCGTTCTTCTCACATAATGGATTTGCCCACCATACCTCCTCAGGGCACCAATCCAGGTCTCTCAACCCCAACACGAATCCGGCGGAGTTCCTCTCATATCTCCCACAAGACCAGTTGGGGAACGCCAATTATTCCCCCATCCCGTGAGAACACTGGCTTGGACGATGCTAGCCTCCTTGATGTCGATTTAGACGCAAATGTGGGGGGTTCAGCTGCGGAAAGTGATTGTGGCGAGATTTGGAACACTTTGGATAATATAGCTGCTTTAGGATTGTCATTCAACGCCGAGAACACCCAAACGGAGGATAAACCGATCACCCATCGATTTTCTCTCGACGATGCTGAACTTTTTGCAAACCATTCATTGCCATTGGATTCGGATACCACTGGCGTTCCATTTAATAAATGGGTCAAGTCCATACAACGTCGAGCAGGTCAGAGAAGAAATACCGTGAGCTGTGAGACGACAGACACCGTATTGAAGAAAGAATATATTGACTCGCCTGCTGCTACACAAAGAAAGTTCGATCACAAAAAGTCGTCTTCGGGTTCTTCATTTGGGTTCGTCACGGCAGTGAAGAGTGCCAGTATCAGCTTAGCGAGTCTCAGCATTGCTCCACGCTCCAGGAGAACAGCCGTATCCTCTCGTAACCACAAAACCGACCGTAGCAACAATACATCACTTGTTGGCAGATTATCCGAGGATAGTGGGTATCTTGCTCGAGGTGCAGTAATTGATCAAGCTGTCACAAATCGGTTACTGCAACGCCGTCGAGTTCTGGAGGAGATCATCAGTAGTGAGGAAAGCTATCTTGCTGATGTGAAATTTTTGATGAATGTATGAGTGTCCCATTCTTCCTCTACCTTTCTCCCACAATCAAATCGCCTCTAACGATTATAGGTCTATGTCACACTTTTGGCATCTATTCCCAGTCTGTCATTAAGTCTTCGAACATCCATCAATCGAAATCTCAATGAAATAGTCGAGCTTCACGAGGAACTTCTTGGTGATTTACACAAAGTCGTTCCCCATTCTGAGTACACGCAAGTGGATTGTACCGAAGCGACACTCTCACCACCGGTCAGCGGCGGACATAATCGATGGCGAAGTCTCGATGCTGTTCCAGAGAACGCCAGAGGACCAGCTTGGCTTCAGAAAATCACTGGCATGACCTCGGAACCAAAGATTGCAGCTGAAGTTGCAAATGTTTTTGCAAAAAAGGTAAACATGCCTTCCAACATTACTCGAGTAGAAATACTGAACGTATTAATTGAAGATGAGCCGTTTCTTTATTTACGAAGAATACGGTGCCAAATACGAGATGATGATTAAAGATGTTGCTTCTACATACAGAAGTATTCCACATTGGGAGGTGTATCAAAAAGGACTTGAAGCACTCGCTTCTTCATTGGCCTCGATCAATAATCAGCAGAACGGTTCCAAAAAGTCTCTTACCATTGGTGATTTGCTTGTCAAGGTAATCTATCTCTCCAAAACTGCCAGCAGTTTCTGATAATATGATAGCCCATTCAGCGAGTCTGCAAGTATCCGCTCCTTTTTGCAGAACTTTTGAAGCAAACTCCGGTTGTAGACTGCCCCGATTCTCATGGAGTGATTGAAAATGTCTTGGTTCGACTTCGGGAAGCGACAACAGAGATTAATCGAGCAACCGACGACCCACGCATGAAAGTCATCATGGAAAAGTCTTGGCTCCTCCAGGATCGGCTCTCGTTCCCAGAAATGGTATGATAAGTTGGAACGAATTGATTGAAATAAAAGACTGACATCTTCGCAGCCTGAAGCTCTCTCCAAGAGTGCGATTCGTTCTCTTGGGAGAGTCCATCTCTGTGGTGTCCTCCATGTCTCTTGGCAAACGAAAGATGGGGCAGAAGGACAATACTTGATCAGTTTACTCTACCGAGATTTTCTCATATTAGCAATGGCGACAAAATTGGAACAATCTTACACGATTCAAGCTTGTATCGCCTTGCATGAAATAAGGATTGAGGAGGTTGACAATGGAAGAGGTAAGATACCCAGGCTCTTATCCACAAGCATATAATCTGATTTGCGTCACAGGCCTACAATGCCACACAGTTCCATTCTCGTGGAAATTGATCTTCGAGTGCGATCATCAGTTGTTCGAGATTACAATGAGCGCATGTTCTCCAAAGGAGGAGCTGGAATGGCGAAGTCGTTTGACCGATCATTCATGCAGAGATCCGCTTGACGCAGGAGAGCAAGCCATACTTACATCCTTAACACTTCCCATCAAATCAATGGGCACAGTTTTTGGAAAGCCAGGTAAATGTGCTCTGTAAATCAGTGCTTTATTTTAAGTTCGCTAACCCTTTCGAGGCACCATCGCCAGAAGATTATCAATTCATAGAGCAACAACAGTTGGCCCAATGTCGGGACTTTGCCAAGTCATAATCAAGAACACGAATGCCTTCAAAGAATCAGCCTCGTCCGCAAATATCAACAGATCACAATCTCTTTTAACCACAAATCGCATCCCAGTCATCGCATCTGCACGTGCCGAACGCATAAAACTAGAAGGTTTACTCGCTGACGTCTGGACTCGAGATATTCTTCCATATCCTGGGATGAGTGGTCGAGCACGCAGTGAACACCTTGTTCGCGCATCAGCTAGTTCAATGATGCGCAAGCTTAGTGTTGCAAGCATCACAAGTAATTTTACTAAACGATCTGGCAGCATAGCAAGTTTGCAGAAGATGACGGACGATGAGATCGATAACGACAACAATTCTCCACATCGAGCCGATCCAAACTCAAGCGAGATATTGAACGTCCACGAGCCGGATGATTTGATTAGCTCACGACTTTCCGTCATTCAGGATGAAAAGGAATTTAAGGAGAATCTCCGCACTGGTTCTTTTGATACTCTTCCAGGTTTACGAAGTGGATCTCATGGGAGCCCGGCGAGTACACTGAGAAGGGTGGCTACATTGACGAAGAAGAGCTGGGTTCAGGACGGGAAGAGAATTATCACTCCGCCGCTTAGAACTTCTAGTGCAAACAGCTTTGGTCAGAACAGCGCCAGCCGGGTTGCACCACCTCTCACAAGCGTTCCCGATATGCTGGTTGAGGAGAAAGAGAATGGCGGGGTACATAGCCCAGCATCTGTGCCGAAGCCTGTCAAGAAGAATCGTGGGTTCGTCAAAAGCAGCCGGATGGTACCAGAAGGGATTCGGAGCTTTTTTCGTTAAGATGGTTGGATGTTTTCGAGATTGAGATGTGAATTGATTCGTCTCTTGAGGTGGATATGGTGGATGGATGGGTTTCCCTTTTGTTCCTTCTCTTTTTTTGGGCCATTAGTATTAATGTTGGGCATTGGTTATTATATTATGATTAGGAAAATGGGGTTCTCGGGGTTTCATCGGTTTTTATGGTATGCATGAAAGGAAATGGACTGAACGGAAAATAAAACGGAAAGGGATTCGGGATGAGTGTATTTTACTTTATGAGACCACGAGACAGGGAATTTTATCAGTTTTGGCTCGGGAAAGTTGGGGACTTGGTGACTTATTGTACTTTGTATGTGTATGAGATATCGGGAAGTTGGGAACTGAACTTCGTGTGATACGATTGCCTCTTCGGCGCTTAGGGTCCCAAGAAAACGTGAACTTGGAGTGGACTAATAAATTGATGTTTTTTGAGATAGTATCTGTGGTAGTAGTATCTCTGGTAATTAGCGTATAACCCTTTCATGTAACCTTTTTCGCTGAGACGGGATGAACATGACCTGATGCCCCTGAAATACCACGTTCACCCATCAAAGTAGTAACACATGGGAACATTTCATTGTGTCTTGCGGGGGGAGGGGGGAGTGGGGAGGGATTGCATTGGGCGGTTTCGTGGTTTTGTGGGAAGAGGGAAGAAGGGGGGGATGGGGAGATATGTATCCGAATTTTCTGGGGTTCTTCGATGGTAAGTGATGATTCGAAGGTGGTTAATTCTGTGAGCTGCGAACGTTTGGATTTGATGAGTTGGGGCATTGGGATGCTGTTGATGTTAATGGGGATATGGTATTTTGAAAGGGCATATTTCGATCTACAGTATGTTTTCTCTGTCCTTGTTACTGTGTTCTTCTACTTGAGGATCAGTCATGTCTTTGATGACAATCTTATATGATTGGATCACATCTCTAAATATCTTCTGGCGTGATTCTTATATGTGGTCCGTTCCCTTTTACTCATCATGTGAAGTTGACGTGCTGGGATTCACTTAAGGATTGCCTGTAGGTGTTAGAGCTACGGAAATTTGGGTTTTCAGGCGGCGTTGAATGTCCCCGTAGTAGGTTCTCTCTTTGTACTGGGATAGAATATTGTAGTCAGAATGAGGGATATATTGTGTGGCAGGCTTATAGGAATTTCCTGTTGAGCTAGGTTCTCTCTGTTTATAGCCTAGGTTATTCTGGACTCAGATAATGCTATGTGTAAGTTACCAGCGAGTATACTGTAGTTGTACGCCGTATGAATGGACTTGAAAGGTATCTGGAAGTGATGGGCAGATCTCATATATGTCGAACCTTTTGAGAAAACTCTCACAATGAAGTGATCTGGAGTTCCTAACTTCCCGACTGAGAATTGTCTGTTCGCTCCTCCAAATAACTTCATTTCACCAATTGGATAAAGCCATGCCCAGTTAAACAAGGCCATACTTATCGTAGTGTTGGAACTTAGAACAAGATTCTGCTCAAGAAGACCAGATTTGAACGTTTGTTATAAATTCGGCAGTGAGGAGAGTTTCAAAGATATGGTTTCAATAGTGATTAACATTTTCAATCAGGATTAATATATGACAAGGCCAAAACAGTTCGTCAAATCGTCGTTGTCAAACATGCATTAGCCAACTTACCTCGTAATCCGAGAAGACAAGAAAAGAACCCTTGGCCAGAAGCGGATATGTTGGTATAAGCAGCGTAGTGAGTCCATCACCTAGCAAGGCTACGCGTAGCTTTTGAAGCTGGCATCTTGAAGCTTAGACACACAAGACTTGGGATTATTCTCGTTTGAAGACGACGCTGATGGATTGCTCTTACTGTTTTATCACAGTAAATCTACCTGCTATCCTTGAGAGCGACGTGACGGCGGAAAATTTATCGAGCTCTACCGAAGTTTTTGGTTTTTGATCAAGTGCGGCTGTTGTGACTGGTGTTCAGGCAGCAATTTTTGAGCTATTCATCTGGGATTGATTCAAACTCCAGATACGCTTACTTGCCACATTTATCAATAATACTGATACAAAACTGGAGAGATCTATTGTCGAGGTGATATATGTATGCACTAAAGATTCCGAGAAAGTTATCATTGCTACGTATCCGGGTTCATAGCGGCGTTACTTGTGTAAGAAGTTGACCCATATCGTTTTGGTAACTCGACAGTAGTAGGGAAGAAGAAGCGAGTATAGACTTCAGTAGCACAACTCTGGCATCGGGGGAGTAGCTGAGTACTTATGCTAGCATAACTAGGCTTGATTATTGGAATGACCAATTTAAATATTTGAGAATTGAAAACATACATTCCACTAAAAGCCTCCACATCCATCTCTACAGCAGAACAGAACAAATTTGCTATTTGTGGTACGTGATGGAGTTGGTATAACCCTCACCACATTTAGCTATTATCTTACCATCAATAAACCCTCCTATATCATTAATCCATCTGATTGTAAAGTTTGTAATGGGCCTAGGGTTTCTCTAGATTCGCAAGAATTATAACAGAAGCGCGTATTGAAACTCCATTTAGACTATCGCTCATACATAATATCTCTAACTAGATGTAACGAATACTCAAACTGGCTAACTAAACTTGGCTGGGTGTTCGCTGGTTGGTATGCTATGATAAGAAGAAGACTATCGGGTTGTTCACTTGGAAGTGAACTCGTTACTTGTATCAAAGATGTCAAACTAATATGATAAGATTGATAACTAAGTTGAGCACGAAGCTCCTATCTAAATGGCAGACGTGCCAGTCTTATATAGAACCTTCGTTCTCTGTCTAATCGCTTTAGTCGCTCGCCTCAGTCGCTTCAGTCGACAGGCAACTCAGGCGACTGAAGCGATCATGGTCACGTGGTACTTTAATCCGACGAAATCCATGGATCGCTTAGCTAGCCTAAGGATTCCCTTCTGCTATAAGAGTTATGATAATGCTCGACCTGTCAGGGCGCCGCCTGGTCTTCACTATCTCCCGTGGTAACACGTGATTCGTGACACTAGATATACCACAGACCACAGAAGGTAACTGACAGCTTCACTTCTTCGCAACACCTTTCGCAAAAGTGAATTTCGCTTCTGTGGAATAGTGCACTCACTTCACTTCAAGTAATTCACACATAGACACAACTTTCCACTAAAACTTCTTGAACAATAAAACTGAGAGCTATATTATACAAAAACAAAATAATCTGAATTTGTTTCATTTATAGGTCTTTTACTGTCATTTTATCTCCTGCTGTCATTTCTTCGTTCACTGTCGAACCCATTTTCGGTTGAGTTGTCGTTTTATTTCATACTGTCTAATTATTTCTTGTCATTTATTTAAAAAATAATAACAAGCTTGTTTTTCCCTCTGCTGTGGTTCTTTGAAACTAGGGTGCAAGTATCTTTGCGAAACTAATGGTTTGTTCTTGTGAAGTTCTAAAGGAAGCTTTTGTGGTAGCAATCCTCTCTCGCTTCTCTTGAGGGGTGCTTGTTTGTATCAGTGTAGTATTGTTTGCGGATTCCTGTGCTGATTTATTTGGAGGAAATGACTGGGGGTTTGAATGAATTGCTTGATCTGCAGAAAAATGTTAAGACCTGTCTTGATTATATTGTTAGTGTTTAGTTGAATATTTAATAGTTTGATTTAACATTTGTTAAAGGGAGGACAAAGAATGTACTACGTGTTCGTAATTCTTTTCAAGATAATACAGCAAGAGTCAATGACTAGTAAGGGTTCATTACAATATAGTAGGTAGGCTTTCACAGTATTAAGGAGTAGTTAGCTGGAAGAGAACTAGACTACATCATATTGAATATTATGTATAGTTTCCTAAGTTCACGTAGTTGATATCTAAGCGTTATAATAGACCCCCTCTTCCCCCCACCTTTAGCTCGTAGTAACACAATTGCCTAAATAGGAAATAATGAAGCCATTCTGAAGTGGCTGTGCATATCCTTGGGTACGTAAATTCACTAGATAATTCTATTCACTAATTTCCATCCAAGTACAAACAAATTCACTGAATATCATTGTTTGATTTCTATTTCCAAGTCCTTAATATTGGCTGAATTTCTGTCTATACCCTATAAGTGTCAACTATGCTCGCTTCTTTCCTGATCCTGATACTAGTGTTATTGAAACTCTCTAAAAAGTAACAAAAACGTGATTGTTAAGTGATGTGATTTGCGCGATAAAACGTAACGTTCAAAACCTTAGAAGACTGTGTTTTTCACCTAGTTTCTATACCTACGATTAAGCCTACCTACTTTGAATTCCACGTGGAAATCCACATGTATACTTTATTCAAATAAACGACAGTAAGATTTGCTCATATTATTATTAACCTCTCATCATCTAGTTCTCTGAATACAGTACTTCCATTATAAGTATAAAGAAAACAACTCTACATTGATTCAAAACTATTATCTGAATTTTCATGATACTCTTTAGGTGCTTCTTTCAAAAACCCCGATTCCACCATACTTGCTGGTAACAACAAGAATTGCATATCCAAATCATAACCGCGATCTGACCAGCAGAGACGAAGCTGCAAGAGGAACATTACGATACCCTCTAATACATTCAGTATCAGAGCACAGTTCAACTAGAAAACCAAAATATACATTACACGAACCTCATCGCACACAGCCACCCCATCACCTGAATGAAATCTCGTACCACCCCAACACCCAATCAACAAGCCCTACGTATAAGATACCTATATTAATCTCACCGCATACATAAATCCCGTACCTGCACCGAAACCTCATTCATTCCCCTTCATTCCTGTTCGTTACACAAGTTACACGACATGAGACCCCATTGCACATGGAACTCAGCCACTGTTTTCCCTGCCTTCTTACAACACTTGCCTGCCTAACAAAATCCCTTCAACATATCATAATCACTGAGACAACCGGTCTTGAAATAACTTATTGTCTCGGTATACGTACAATACGTGTATGTATATGTATAGATACGTAGGTAGACAAAAAGGTCAAAGAAATCCTTCAGCGCTTACCGAGACGGTGGATTGCGGGAAGGTACCTGGTACCATGTATGTAGAATACCTATCCCCAGGTTTCTGTAAGCGCTTGTGTACCGAGACCTGGATAGACCAGACCAGACCTGATCAGACCGGGCTCGTGACCTCCAGACCTTGAATATTGGGGAGCTGAAAGTCGCGAAATGATAAGCTGAACATGAATAAATGTCTCCTAAACGGCCAAAGAGAGATACCTCTATCTCGAATGGGGATAGAAAATGAAAGGCTTCATGAAGTAACGGCAGAGAGTGTAAAATCGATGAGTGTCTTTGACTGGTTCTGGTTCGCATAATGATTACCCTCATGCAACCTGAGCTGAGGTACTTACTTTCCTCTACTGTACATTGAAACATGCAACTGCAAAACACCACAAACCAAACCGGAAGCGCTAAGGCAATTGAAGGGTTACGGTTACACCACAAAAGCCACCTCTTTCCTATAAGGCATAGTACTTCAAACACCAGTCAATTACAGTACCACCCCTCTCTCCCCAAACGTTAACGCTGAGCCCACCTGTCCCGTGAAGATGTACGTATAGTGTACTGTGGCAGGAAATACGTGAAGTAACACAGCGCGCGTACTGACGGCGGAGGATGGGGCGCTGTTTCTTATTTAGTACTTTGGGGGAGGTTGTGTGTTACGTGTACCTGGGGGCTGGGTTTCCATTTTGGAGGGATGTGATACGAGGGAGGGACGGAGTGAAGGAGTGAGTTGGAGTACTTCGTATGAGTTTTTGAGGTTCTAGGGATTTGAGGGTAGAAGGAGAGGAATTGAGTGGTATGTTGAATTTGTAACCTTACTTACAAATAAGCTCTAGACGCTGATGATATTACCATTCTTAAAGCGTTATTCCATGGGAAGCGCTAGGAGAATTAGATGTACAGTACAATATGGAATAAGGTAAAGATGAGAAGTAGAATGCCATATTATATGGTACTGTACTTGATGGTGTATTTATCGTGTGAACCATCAACTACAAATCCATCGGTTCAACTTAAACTTACAATATCCATACGGAGTTCTATATATACTACAGGTAAGTTCTTCCCTCCTCACCACCACAGCACACACACACACAACACACAACACACCCAAAGAACCAAACCTCATTAACAATCCCCCCAACTCCCAACCCAAAATCCAAAAAACTATACATATACTGCACCCCTCCCCCTTCCCTCCCCTTTCCGACCCCTCATAAGCATGCAGTCATACTTCCCATCCCATCCCATCGACCCCACCCCACTCCATCCCCACAACCGCTGAAGAAATGAAGAAAAACCAGGAACCACAAAAAGGATCGGGTCCAGTCCAGTAAGCACCGCCCTACCGAGCCTACCCAGAAAATGCGGTGAGATATATGGTACCGGTACTTTCTTCCTTACTGGTGCTTGGAAATCCCCGGCGGCTACGTAGAACTTTATGTCTTCCTTCCTTCTTGGGGAGAGGGGGTGGAGAGCTGGATATTCGTGGGTATAGGGTGGTAGGTGTGATGCACGGTAGAATTCATGTATAGGACCCCACTGCAGATGCGTTGGCTGTTCTTGGGCTGTACTCGTATAGTAGAGTACAGTATCTTCCTCGTAAAGGCTCCCGTGACCCCTCCCTCCCGTAACCAACCCTACCCCGCTATATTCTCACACCCATCCCATCTTTCTCCATCAAACTGCAACTTACTTCGTACAAGCCAAAAAAAAAGAAAGAAAGAAAGAAAGAGCAAAAATAACACACCCGAACCCAAACCTAAACCCAAACTTAAATCTAAACATACTCTACATACTCACAGACAGTGGAACCAAACCAAACCATATTCCCCCATCACGATTCACACTAATACGAAATCCAGCTAGCAGCCGTGGCGAGTAGAAAGAAGAAGAAAAGAAGAAGAAGAAGAAGGAGAAGAAGAAGAAAGAGAGTATCCTTAGCACGTTATATTATAACCTCAATAATATACAAGAAACGATCATGGGAAGGAAGTGGATTACTCATGATTCTAAGGGGACTTAAAGTCAAACGAATTACTCGCGCGTGGGCCGAGGGAAAACAAACGTAGGTTTTTCGGGATGGGTACGGAGACTATTTGGGTAATCATGATATGATATGTCATTTGTTTATATATGATACGAAGTAGACGATGTGGGGAGGTCGAAGGTTGAGGATTCTGGAGATGTATAGACGATGTAATGTAATATGTACACGGTAGATACTTTAGGTAATATTCAAGTTACGACTATTATGAAGAATCTTGAATCTCGAGGTACGAATAAACTAAAGCGAAAGAAATAAGTTAGAAACTAAGCTTATCACCACTACAATCTATTTGTGTTTTGTGTTTCTCTCCTCCCCCGCTATTAATCTACACAAAGTTAATTTGTACCTTTCCCACTATATTTCAACACAAAAATGACATCATCACAGTGAGGAAACACACGAAACCCACAAGTTTCTACCTACCTGTGTTTATAATCACATTAATCAGATATATAATCCCACCATCGTAGATCGGCTCGTCGTGGTAGACTCGCAAAACAAAAAAGAGTTCCTCGCACAACACCTGCCAGAAGGGACAGGGGAGTCGGACTCCATCCATGCATGCACGTTGCCTCGCTGGCGAATCAGCGAGGGCTTCCAACCGCCAGACCGAGCGTATTGTAGGAGGGGTCCGTAAATAAGTGTGATGTGATGTAAATGGGTTCCTTGCCTTGCGTCTTGCTGGAAATGCATGCATGCAAAAGTGTTCACCGTCACACAAACTTTTTGTATCGTAGTCGTGGCCGGTGGTGGAGTGATTTGTGGTGTTGAAGCATGTGAGGATTTTTTTTGTGAGTTCTCGTGATGATGGAATGGGGGAGGATATGGAGACCGAAGGTTGTGCGGTGCGCCGGTGTGACGGATAACGTCGTGAGGGGTAATTATTTGTAGAATCTTGTGTGCTTCCAAGGCCGTCCAAACCAGGTTCCGTTTCCCTTGTACTGTGTAGAAGCGATTCTGAAGGACTCGGAAAAGAGATCTTTGACTTGGCAAAAGAAACCGAAGAGTCCGAGAAAACTGGAAAAAATAAGGAGTACTTGGAAGGACAGAAATACTTCGAAGTACTTGGGGTGTTGGAGCTGTTGTAAGTTACTAGAGCCAGGCTCGCTTGAACATGGGGAAATGGTTGATGTCAAACGTCATCCTAACTTTTGACTTTGGGTCGCTAGCGGTAGAAGGCGAACTTGAAGCACTGACAAGAAGTTGCAACTTGGATGTTGGTTGGACTTTTGCCCATGTATTTCAAACCAACTACAGTAACTACGGAGTAGACTCCGTGATTTGACTTGTCCGAACATTCGCAAAACGCCAGTTCAGTGCCGTTCAGATCATGGAGATGAGATTGATACTAGCGCATGCATATATTCGTGACAAATCCCAGGTAATTATTATTGTCCCAGCGACTAGAGAATCCACAGAACAGAGTCATTTCTTCAGCGGAATTTACCCCTTTGTATGGTGGCAGTGACATTTGGGGTATGTTGGTTGGTTATGTCTTGCAGGTTGGTTGGTATTAGTTGACCTCTCGCGCTTCGTGGGGAAGCGCAGGTTGCAGATTCCAGAATATTGGAGTTCGGATCAGGAAGGCCACAGCCATGGGATGCATGCACATGCACTGAGATTCCTATTGTGAAGTACGAAGTAGGGACCCGGCCACTGCCACTGCGACTTTCTATTCTTGTGGTATCGTCTTGTATTCGATCTCAGCAATTTCAAACATTTGCGATAGATCGAAGGAGAATTGAATTCATTGAGGATCAGCGTAGAACAGAATTGGTTTCTGAAAACACATCCATCCTGATCATCTCATAAATTTTTGCACCAGCGGGAGGGGCCATCGGTTAGGGCGAATCCTCGGAGTGGAAGATGGGACCCACCCAATCCACCCTGCCAAGCCATGCCAAGCTTTAAGGCTCTAGCGGCGATCAAACTACAGCCGTCTGAAAGGGGTGAGGTCAAACTAGACGTCGTCTCAACCTCAACCCCGAGGCTTCACCATTTCAAGCATCGCATTATTGTGGCGCAGAGTGAACGACAGACAGACGTCGCTTATCATCAGATGGCAGCTGGAACTGGCTGGCTCTGGCTTTAGCACTAGCACTGGCATTACTGTACTGTATTAGCACTAGGATTGAACTGACAGGTGTCGACTATTTCTGATTCTGGGGGAGATTGGGGTGTCAGTGCGCAGGCGCGTGCGAAGCCACCGGTAGGATGATGAGACCAGACGAGTATTCCGTGGACCGTGGTGTATGGTGGTGTGGTGGTAGTAGTGAGTGGTATGATGGGTAGTGGACCAGTGGTAGTGAAAATGGTGGTAGTGATGATTCGAAAATACTGCAATCTACCTAGGTACTCTGTACACCCGGCGTGGATCCCGAAGACCGAAGATTCGGCATCCGGAAGCCACCACCCACCAGCCACAGTCCCAAATTGATGGTCCCACTTTTCTGACGATCCCCTGCCAAACTTGGAAGCTAAACCCAATTTCGTCTAGTGTCGGGTGTCTGGCAGCTACAGGTAGGGATTGGCAGGGAGCACGGACTTGCTGCAGTTTTGGGACCCGCACCTGCCACCCGCTCGCCTCCATCCACATTCATCCATACATCGAGGGCATACGATGCATCCAACCCCTGACCGCACAACTCCATCTCCTCCATAACCGCTCAACATCACACATTCGTCCAATCATGCGATTCCTACGCTTCTTCACGGACCGGATCCGTCTCTGCTTGCCGCCAACCATGCTGCAAAGAGAGGACAAGGCGTCTTGTGCTGTGGTGCGGCCTCCTCGTGTCGCCTGTGATAGGTGACGATGTCTTCACACCGCATCGCGAGGTCGAGGAACGGCCGAGTCTGTGATGGGAGAATGACCACCCGAAGAGCCTGTGAGAAGAGTACTCGAGTACAAGGCCATGGACAGCGTACTTGGGTGCACTTGGCTGAGGATGAGCGGCCGGCCTCAGTGGTCTGGTGCTGGTGGAAGGTTCTGACTGCAAGTGCTGCTTGCACATCGTAGGTCTCTTCCCCCGGCCAGACCCCCCTCACCCCCT